CACCCAGATAGTGCTGCTCTTTCAGAGCAGATAGCACTGCCTCTGTCACCTCCTCCTTGTACAGGTGTTCCCCTGTCCATGGGGGATACTGGAAACCACGAATGATACTGAACTCTATGTCATTCCTTCCTGTATATACATTCCCATGACAAAGTTTTTTCAAATAAGTTATGCAAACAAATTAATAATAATAAAATAGAATGATTTTGATTCTCTATAATAAAAGTATTTAAAACTCATGTAATGTTTAATTCTGGAATATTCCTTTTAAGATTTTTGGGACCACAGAAAGGAAGTGAAGATAAGGGAGGATATCAGGAGAACACAGGAAAATCCGGCATGACAGTGTAACAATACTCATTCTCCCCAACCCCAAGGTCTGCCTCCCAGTCTTTTGGTTTTCTTTTATTTGATTAATTATCATTTCATCAATGGCTATCAGTGCCTTCTTACTCTGTGGTAGGTATCACTTTAGACATAGGCATATAGGACTGAAAAGGCAGGGTCCTGAGGTGCAGGCTCAGTTACTGGGACAGCAGAAAAGTGACAGGAGCCGCGTGGCGTGCAAGGGGAAGGACAGGGTGTTAGAGGGGCCCAGCCGGGAGTGAGAAGTCAGGGTGGCTTTGAGATAGAAGGGATATTTGAGCAAAGTTCTTAAGGTTGCATAGGAAGAGGAAATGGTGGACAGGGAGGTATTTCAGGCATAGGGAAAGTGTGTAAAAGCCCGCTGGGGTGGGGCTGCCACAGGTCAGAATCACGGGAGTTGAGTGTGCAAGAGTCAGTGAGCTTAGAGACAAGAGAGGTACATGGCATGGCGAGGGGTTTCAAACAGTGGATAGGACGTGGCTGAAGGTTTTCTATACATCAGTTTTGGACGTCATATAGAAAGTTCAGTGTGCCATTGACGTTTTAGGAAGAGAAGTAACGTGCTTATATTTGTGCTTCATTTAAAAAAAAATCCCTCTTCTGGGCATGGTGGTATAAGCCTGTAATCTCAGCACTCGGAAGGCTGAGGCAGGAGAATCACTGAGAGTTCAAGGCCAGCCTGTATTACATAGAGAGATCCTGTGACAGACAAACAAACAAACAAACAAACCCACCCTTCTGGCTGCAGCGTACAGCAGATGGAGGCAAAGAGGTGAACTGCTTTTGAAACATATTTTTCTTCTGGAATCACTTTTCTCAGGCTTGGCCATAATGGGCCAGATAAAGAAGCATTTGGAGCAGAATTCCTATCTATGGTCCATTGCTCGTGCTGTCTGAGTAACACACAAGTCCGCCTGGCTTCATCTCATCCCTGGGTAGAGTGTGACACCAAAGTTACCCGCACAGGGTTTCCTTGCTTGCTCAGGGGACGCAGAGTTTGCCACAAGAGTGACGCAGGCGCGCTGGACAGGAATGTGGAGACCGTGAGGTCACACTTTCTTGGCCTGACTGGGTCTGTGACTTGGACAAACCCGTCCCATCTCTGGGTGTCTGGTCTCCCTGCCAAAAATGAAGAGACTGAACTGACTAGACCTTAAGGTCCTTTGAGCTCTGAGATCCGTAACATACTAGCTCTGTGAGCTGGTCTTAGAACCACAGAGCTCAGTGGGGCTCTGCCAGTCCTGGCCTCACGACCTTGGATAAATTACTGATGGCCCTCCAAGGCAGGTGTAAAATGGAGAGAGGAAACCTGCTTTGGCGAGGCTGTTGGGGGGAATAGATGTGACACTGTATGCAAAGCACTTAGCAATGCACCCCTAAATAAAGGTTATTGACTGTAACAGAACTTCAAAAATGAAGATGATTAAATGGGATAGACTATGGAACAAGAAAATGCACCCCCTAGATTACAGGATGTCAAGAAAGCAAACGAGTGAATGCATTACAGTGTTTATAAATTTAGCCTTATGTGCAATTATTCTGATTCAGGCAACTAACATTTCATGTCCGCAGTCACCATGCTAAAACGCTGTGCCAGAGCGCCATCTAGTGGCCACAGACTTGGCATTTCCATTCAGACAAGAACAAACGCGGCTTTGTGGTCGCCCTACAGATAAACGCTGAAGTTCTGGGGGGTCGTTAATCTTGGATAAAGCTAATATTGAAACTAGTAAAGTATCATTAATTATATCACTTCTAATAGTAATGTCTTAGTCAACTTTTCCATTAAAGTCATGTTCTGAGCATTTATAAGAAAGATCTTGCAGTTCTGAAAGAGAAAATTACATTTTAAATTAAAACATAAATTACATTGAGTATTTGAATTGCACATAAAATCTTGAGGGTAGTTCAATATGCCATGAACTTAACTTAAATCACCCAAAAGGACCACGTGACAGCACTTGTGTGGAGCAGAACCGGGGACTTCCTAGAAGTGACCCTGCCGCGGTCCTGGCTGGGCCGCGGGCCAGCTGCCTCGCTTCTGCACACGCTGTTTCCTCCCATGGCAACACCCAGCTCCACCCAGAGCCTTCCTCAGGCCTTTCCCAGCTTGAACATCCTCTCATCCGAGGAGGGTAGTCTTCTCTTTCTTTTAATGTTAGGGATCTGGTTTCAAAGAAACTTGATGTCAGTTTTCCTTTATGAATGTGGGCACTCGAGCACAGCAGTTTAAAGCCATGTGAAGTGATTATGACATTTATACGGCCAACGTATCCGGAGTTACGTGGCCGGTCACTAAGAGCCACATCCTTCTCCCCGCGTGGCATCTGTGCAAAACAAGCTGTCTGGTCAGCACTCCACTGAGCAGTTCTCTGGGTGTCCAGGGGGCCCTTCTGCGTGGTTCTTTCCAAGGGCATGTGAACAGTGATCCGTGGTCCCGCTAAGGTAGCTGTCAGGTATGTGGTTCTCCATTCTTCCTCTTTCACCCAGTCCTCAACTGGAGACATGAGCTCCTTGGAGTCACGAGAGGGTTTGAATTATCTGCTGGAGATGGGCTGCCCATGACAGCCACCCAAGCGGCAACACGTACACACATGCACCTACTTAGGGTGAACAAAGGCACTAAAAATCTGGGGTGATTGTCAGCAGCAAGCTTTAACTGTCTGCATCCACTGTCCAGCTTTGATGCCAGAATCCAATTTGAGGTACTGCATAAATGCAAACTCAACTTTAATGTCAACTGACATTAAAGCAAATAAAGAATTAAGAGGATGAAAGTAAGGGAAAGATCAATCCAGGCATCATCTTTGAATAGTTTAAAGGTTTAAGGGTCTTGCCAAAGCTTTCCTTTGTTACACAGAGGCAGTCTGATGTGTAGGTCTTGAGCTAGTTACCAGCAGACACCGAGGGCACAATCCCTGGAGGCGAGAGGTGCTGCTGGACCGAAGGAAGTGCAGCAGTCACCGAGCCAGATGAAATGAACTGAGCAGTGCACTGCTTTCTAAAACTTTCCAATTTTCCTGGCTTTTCAGGTGACCCTGTTAATGGGGGTTGGGTGGGCAGGGAATCCTTGATTACAGCCAGTAACTGATAAACTGATGTCATGTTTTTGACAGGTGGAAAAGCAAGTATTTTAGCTACATCTTTCTGAAAATGGAAGACACTGACAACTTATTTTTTAAAGCTAGCATTCTATGGGATAATTGAGAATCAGTGAGCTAACTGAGAATCAGTGATGTAGAAAAAATATCAGCAAGATAAAGAAAATCCATTAAGAGTACACACAGGATTGTGAGTCAATGCTGGCTTCCGAAGCCACAGGCTGGGGGTCAAGCTGGCTGTGAACAGAAAATTAAAACTCTACAGAACAAATTTGCAGTAAGATAACTGCCTCATGGTGTTAAAACTCTCATCTCCCTGTATGCTGCCACCTAAATTATTATTACGGGATACCTGAGTTAAAATTTGTTCTGTAAATAAGATGAACACGCTTGCCTATAAGAATTACTTATAGAAATTTTTAAAATGCTCTCCAGATACTAACAAAATGTAAAGGATACAAAGTTCTTGATCTAACAACTAAGGTTCTAGAACTCACTGTAAAAGTGAAAGCAGGTTAAAAAATGTAGGACCTTTAACAGAGAAAGAAAACCAACTAAGGTTTTCTTGTAAACTGATCGAACCAATCACGACAAATCTGTACGGTATAGTTTGTGTGCCTACCGCAAAGAGTGAAGAGAGCTTTATGTGCTGATAGAAATGTGGGTTCAGAAGAAATTCTTTCCAGGTGCTTGGTGCTCTGCAGAGAATTCGATGAGACACACAGAAAAGGCAGCGGGATGTGCATTCACAGAGGGTGGAAAAGAGGTACGCTCCGCGGAGGGACAGTGGACTGGTGAGACACCCAGCAGCCATGAGGTAAGGAAAGGGGTCTTTTCTATCTCGAGTTCCTGAATTGGCTTCCTCCACAATTTGGGCACACAGACGTCCTATTAAAAGCTCACTCGGCCTGGAACCAAGTGGCAACTGTCCTATGCGACTGGCTTGGTTTCACACCAGATGCAAATGAATTGCAAACAGCAGTTTTTGCTGGTTCTGAGTCCACTGCTCAGGGGCTGTAGTCATCCTGGACCCTGCGTCCTGCACATATGCCCGGATCTCATGACTTGGGCAGATTCGCTCCAGCCCTAATCTCCTAAGGAAGATGTGCTTAATATCATTTTTTAAAATGTATGGGCTTTTTCTCCAGTAGAAAAAGACTGGGAAATCAAAAAAGATCAGTTACTTAGTTAATAATGATCTTAGGGTGAGATTTTCACTTATTTTACACCTTCTACAGCTTGATTTAGTTGGCTGAATGTCTTGTTGCTCCTCTAATCACGTTTCACCCTAAAGTCTCACACAGGCATTTACAGTAGAATCAATTCCACCTTGTGCGGAAGCGTCTTAGCTGTGCGATCTCCTCACACATGGGGAAAAAAGGCTTCACTGGGAAGTTTACTCATTTTCTGTTCCCTGCAGTACTCAACATGGTAGATGCTCAACAAATGCTGGTGGCATTGATGTGTTTTTGTTCTTCCTGCAATTCAATACGGATAATACTGGCAATGACTTAGGAGACCACATGATCACCATTTTATTTTCAAAATTTTATTTACGTGGCATCTTCAGCATATTTCCTCTAATTTTATCATAACATAAAATCCTAAGGTTTAAAATCAGATATTTTATGTCGCAAAAAGTTATTCCTCTATTTTGAGGAAAATTGTTCAATTTTACGTTGATATTTATAATATTCATGTATGTTATTTATATATACACTATATACACACACAACATGGCATCATTAAAATGTACAAAAGTTTAAATTACATTTTGTTACAGAACATTTTGAAATTCAGACTAATGAAAACACTTGGGAAAAATAAGACTGACAACACTTGGGAAAAATAACAGCAAGTGTAATAAACAGTCATGCAGTATGTCTAGTAAGCTTCAGATATGACAAACACTGTACATATCAAATCCACAAATTTAAGGATGTGACTGACCAAACCATGCTAGAATCTAAATGTAACTCTACAATTTATAGGTATTTGTGGTTACCTATGAAACAGGAACATAAACTATGTGGACATATGTAACAGATTTTGTAATTCCTAAGAGACTAACAGTGAGAAACTTCCAAGGAAGCACATCAGGCATTTCCCGCCGAAACTGAAGTTTTTATGAACATATTCATAAACACCAAATGAAGAAAATAACAACCCAGATATTATGAGTTAATTTTACCACCTCAAAACGAATTCCACAGACAACCCTTGAAACAACAGTTTCTCTGGGATATTTTTATTTTCTCCTGATTTAGTGAGGAAAACACATTTAATATCTCCCTGTTCCATGGAGAAGGTAGCCTGGCAAGTAAGATTCAGGAATATCAGAAAACACAATTACAGGTTAAACAAAAAGCAGAGAGGACAGTTTGATGAAAGAGCACCAGCGTGCGCGCACGCACACATACACACACACACACAAATTTAAGATCAGGAAATAATAAACTAAAGCATTATTTCTCCCTCACAGTGATTTCCTGGACACTATACTATTGCACACTACACTACTGGTAAGAAAAGTATAAAAATACTGGCAAACTGGAAATGGAGAACAAATTTCTTCAAGTGTTTGCTAACTCTGATGCAGCAAGTGATTATCAAATGTGTGTGCGTTTCTTCGTGCTTCAGTGAAAGAAGTTTCCACTGCAACTCCTGAAATCTAGTGTGATGCTAGATTTAGTCTCTGGCTATTATTGGTATAAGTGAAAAAAAAATAAAAACTGGGTTCCAATTCAACCCTCACTGAGAAATCCATGCATCCATCTACAGCTACCTGCTGTTGGAAAGCTGGCTGCAAGTTCAAGTGTCACGTGGCTGCTGTCAGCATACGGGCCGTGTGTGTCACAACGCCAACCCTAGGCCTTCTGACTGCGGCAGCCCCACCAGCTCACCCTGAGCTGACCCAGCAGGACTGAATGGGAAGGTGGGAAGAAGGGGGAGGTGGGAAGGTGCGCTGAAGCGCTGGGGACTGGCTCAGCCTGGCCTGAGGCCACAGTCCCCTCTGCCCCCTACTCCTGGGCTCAGAAAGGGATTCTGGGAGGAGCCAAGGGTAGTGTTAAATAGCTAGAGGGAAATAGGCCTGGGTCTGTTCCCAACAAGCAGTAGACAGATCCTGTACCTGTAGGTGAGTGACGTAGGTGAGAGGCTGCAGTGAGAGCCTGGGCAAGTGGGGAGCAAAGGCAGAGCACTTCCCAGGAAGTGCAGCACTCAAGTTCTAGATTAAGGGCCAGAATAGAAAAGTCCACCCGATGACTAAAACTACTGCCTCTTTTTTTTTAAAGATCGATGTTCCCAAGCAGCACTGCAGTTTCAGGCAGAGTGGGAGGAATGAAGTTCAAGCCTACAGGCCAGTAACGGTGGGGCCTGCAGAGCTCGCTGCAGGGACAGCAACGACCAAGCCAGAGTGTGGCGGTGGAGCCAAGGGGAGAGCAGTGACGGCTGCCCCTTCAGTGACACCCTTCACGGCACAGGAAGCACCAGCCTACCCACTGGGCACCGCGTCTCAGGCTCATGGTCTTCCGAAAGGCCCATTTTTTTTTTTTTTTTGCAGTACTAAGGATTAAATCCAGGGTCTTCACATTGAGCTACGTCCTCAGCTTTTCCATTTTTTGACACAGGGTCTCGCAATTTGCTAAACTGCTCAAGCTGTATATGAACTTGCAACCCTCCTGCTTCAGCCTCCCAAGAACTGGTATGATGTAGGTGTGTACCATCATGCATGGCACAAATCTTAACTTCCTGAGTAAAATATGGAACTTCAGCACTCACATGGCTGAGGTAAGAAGACTGCTGTCAGTTCAAGGTCAGGCTGGGTTACACAGATTTCAAAGGCAGCCTGAATTACATAGCAAGGCTCTGTCTCAAAAAAAAAAAAAAAAATTCAGAAGAGTGGTTCAAGGGAGGAGTATGAGTCTGAGTCTGACACTGCTGGTGTCTCAGCACCAATTCTTTAAATGTTATTTTGAACTTTGACTTTTAAAGAAAGCTAAGTCTAACACTGGAAAAGTACAGTAACAATTTTCACTAGTTAAGTCAGAACAGGAAACAAAATTAGGCTAATTCTTTTACAGCTTTGTGAAGTAATAGAAGTACGAGAAGCTGGGCTTGTACCTATAGTACAGCAGTCTGGGAGGCTGAGGCAAGAGGACTGAGAGTTTGAGCACAGCTTGGGCAACAAATCAGCGAGATCCCATCCCAAAGTAAAGTGCTGGGATGTAGCTCAGTATGAAGGCCCTGGGGATACAACAAAGTAACAGGATTAAGGGACTTGGAAAATTTCAAGTCCTTTCTTCCCATCTGCAAACACTAGAGGTAGGCTTTCCCCTGGGAGCTGCCTCCTGAGGTCCTACGCCCAGCAGGCCTTGAGGTTCCAACTCCCTGTGCTGGGCCACGCCCTGGCCAAGGATGTGCAGGAGCCCCAGGCCGGCAGTGCCAGCAGAGTGCCACCTAAGAAACTGACGAGGATGCAGGAAAGCAGGGGCTAGAATAATAAAACAGTACATCTGCAAGTTCTAAAATGATATTGTCCACACAAGTTTAAGTAGTGCCTTCTCTTGTGTGAGAAACCCAAAAGGTAAATCCAGAGCAAAACGCAAGACAGATATGGGAAATAGGAAGAACTTATTCAAATGCGAAGGGGCCCAAGGAGAGCGCAGGGGAAGGGAGGGAAGGAAAAAGGGAAAACAAAATGGGAGGAAACACATTCCTTGTGATGCAGGTGACCAATATATACAACGAACATGTCCTCCTAAAAAATGTAACGTTAAAAACAAAGTAAAATAGAGTAATATTGTTAAGGGGGACAGGGGGTTTAACCAACATGTGAACTGCAGTTTCTACTATACCGTAAGATTGAGATGTCAGTACTTGGTGTGTGTGTTTCTGCGTTGTAAAAGTACTTCATAAATGTACTCTATGTCAGAAAACCATACTACGTCTACATTATTTTAAAAATGGGGCTCCCAAAGCCTTCAGCTCTGGCAATTACCATCTTTGAGTTCCTTGAAGTACAGCTTAGGTTAGTAAACACGGTTAACCACTAGCATGTAGGAGGGCTCAGTGTGAGAACAGAACTTTCAGCAATTTCTATCAGCCAAATTCACCTATCTTACAGGGAAGTAGAGCATCAACAAAGAAAGGAGTCTGAAGGAAGAGCACAAGTAAATTAGTACCTTTCAGAGTATCACAGACCTGTGCATGGAAGGCAACACCAAGTTTTAAAATTCACACACCTAAATTCAGTGGATGAGACTAGGGTCCAGGAAGGTGAAAGGACCTGACCAAGGTCACACAGCAAAGCTGGTAAACGAATTAGGATAACAGCTCAGGCCTAGATCTCTTATACAGTAGAACCCTGACTTGTGAACTCAATTCATTCCCGAGGGCTGGACGCAACTCAAATTGTCTCTCAGGCTCCTCTACACAGACTTCAAAGTTTCTCTCCTATACACAGGCAGATCTCAGTGTCTTAGAGAGACACTGGCTCAGGATTTCCCAAGGGCCTTTCTTTAAGGGTTAAATCTGTATGAGACCAGCTGGAAGCACAAATGACCAGCAGTTGGGTCATAAGCCAAGACTTTGGTTGTAAGTTAAAACTATAATTTGGGTCATAACCCAAATTGTTTGTATGTCAGGCCAGTCATTAACTTGAGGGACCACTGTACTCCCAGCCCTCAAAGCAATGATCTTATAAGTCATACTTCATTGTTTATCATAGCTGCACACAAAGTAGAAATACTTTTTAAAAATGTGTTAATTTTTGTATTGTGCTATCTAAAAATACAAAAATTTCAAATGAGTAGTCTAACAAACAGAATGAACCCTAAAATTTTAGACCTAGAAAAATACTATGAATTTAATTTAGGACTAAGTTACACAGAAGAACCCAGGCCCACAGAAGGCAAACTATCTCCCAAAACCACAATGTTGAGATCCAGGCCATCTAAAAATGGAAAGCTGTTCCTTTCAATAGTGCCTTATTCTGTTTCGGGTATTTTTTTTGGGTTTTTTTTTTCCGGTACCAGGATTCGAACTCACGACCTTGCTCTTGCCAGGCAGGTGCTGTGCCACTGAGCTAAAACCCCAGCCCCTGTTTTGGGTATTGACTACAAACAAGTGAAGCAAAAATGTTGAAACACATCTACTTTAGATATACAGTGAAACTCTCAACAATAAAAATGCTGGGAGAATGGGTAAATATTAGTTCTCTGGTTAATAAAAAGCTAATAGCATGACTGCTTGTTTACACTTGAAAACTGTGCTCTTAAATGTAGATCACAATTCTGCGTTTCGAGCCTTCTGAAGCAAGCACATTCAGGATCTCAGGCCAAGGAGTGTAACTACATTCTACTGCTCGTAATTCTCCAGTCAGTTGCCTATATTCTGTCGGGCCTAATACCTGAGAAGGATTTTTACATTTGTAAAATGTTATAAAAAATAAGATGACTATTCTGACAGAAACTACTCCTGGCTGAAGTTGACATCATTTACTAACTGACTGTTGTGACATAAACATTTTTGCTTGACCTCCAGGGTATATTCAGAAAATATATGAAAACTGGGCTGGATATGTGAAAGCCATAAGGCTTTTTTAGCATCTAAAAAGCAATCTCTGGTTTATTCAAGCTTTACTGTAATTTGACTCATTCTCCTGGTATTAGATGGGGGGAGCACTAGTTTGGGTCACAATTACCCGGTCTAGTTAAACGAAACTTTATCACACACTAATTTAAGTGGGTATACAGTTGGATGAAACTGTTATGTATATGAATAGATAAGTGTATAATAAAATGACAGCAAATATCTATGATCAAAAATTGCTAATTTCTTTCCTTTAGGTCTCTTCTCTATCAGAAGTTTTCTCATGGCCCCATATAGTATGTTGTTAGATTTATTAATCAGTAGTTCTCAATCATGTTAATTATCTCAGTGACCACCCATCCATATCTCATTTGCAACCCCAAATAACAAATATACACACAAATCCCACCAGAACATATGGAAGTACCTCTAATGAGTATGAGACAACAAAATAGAAAATGATAAACCACAAGCCTGGGAATAAGTGAAAATTAAATATTCCACTTATCAATCTGAACAAAACAATAACACAGACCATCTGTGTACATTTTCATAGTTTACTGCATTACTTAATGAAAGACGGGAAGACTGCAGTGGGCCCTGGTTTCCATAACGCTGCTGGCCATGGCATGAGAACAAGCCAAGTTGGGCGTGGTGGTGCATACCTGTAATCTCAGCGCTCTGTGAGCCCAGCCTGGGCAATTTAGTGAAATCGTGCCACTGATAAACTATAAGGATTTCAATGTTCAAATGTGAAAGCAGGATCTATCGTGTCAAGATTAAAATGTCTTACATTAAAATAATTACATTAACAATTCCTTTGTACAGTTCTCTTCGGTCACTCCATCTTCTCGCTTGCTTTTGTAACTGGAAAGGAACAAATTTTCTATGCGAGTCAAAAATTCCTCAGCAATGAAGCAATTGGTTACTGTGCTCAGAGTTTTCCTCAGACACGCCAAAAGCTAGGACGGAAAAAAAAGTTTCATATTTAAACACACACAAAAAGATGTATTTTATCTTTCCAAACTTCACATTTCTTAGTGACCAAATGAGAAAATTCTCTGTAAGTGTGTCTGAAAATTCTCGGGAAACATAGGGTGGATTACTGCAAAGCACTGCTGGGAAATACTCAGCTTAGCTCCTTTACAATTTAAAGTTTACATAAGGAGATACACCCAGGGGTGCATGGGATGCTCTCTACACTGGGCAGATCTGTGACTCTGCTCCCTTTTAGAGTTGTACTTACAGAGAATAATTTTGAGACATTAAATAAAAATCTTGGGGCTGGGAATGTAATGCATTGCCTGATTCATGAGCAAAGCATGGGTTTGGGGCCCTCAAATGAAAAAACCAAAAAAGCAAAAAGCTACATACATAAAAACTTAAGACTCTACCATTTCAAAATTAGGGTGCTAGTTGGGGTCTATTTTCTAGAAATGCATGTTACTCTTTGAATAGGATACAAAAAACAGAAAAGGGTAAAAAATAATGAAAAGGTACATTACATTTTCCAAACTGCATCCAAAATAAAAGGACAAATGTTGCCAGTCTACTAACTCTAACTTACTACAAAAGCCTTAAAAAAGAATTCCAAGCTCTTACTTCCACCAGAGTTAAATAAAATGACTACCTAAATTTGGTACATTTACACTATCATTCTTAAAAATGATCAACTGTTAAGGCTAAAAGGGAAACACGTTGCTTTTGAATTTTTTTTTTTTTTTTTTTTTTTTTTTTTGGTTTTTCCCCGGTACCGGGAACCGAACTCACGACCTTGCGCTTGCCAGGCAGGCGCTTTGCCGCTGAGCTAAATCCCCAGCCCCCCATGAATTTAATAAAATGAGAAAAATGTTCTCCACTGTGCACAATAATAATGTGCTATGAAATTTACCAGTCAATACTGACAAATTTATTCTATATTATTTTTCCATGTGAAGTTTTGGCAACAAAACATACTCGTAATTATCTCTCAGAAATTAATTTTAGAAAGGAAAAGGCAGTAAGAGCTCTACACAGAAAATGTATCTGCAAAGCATCAGGCATCATGGGAGAGCACATGATGGTGACAGCTCTGGAGTCTGTGAACAATGGCACCAGTTAAAACACAGCAGCTTACTTTCTGCAAACAAGTCAGGTCGGAGTCCCGGCGAAAGAGTTTATCCATGGGGACACTGCTGCAGGAACAAGTAGAGAACAAGCTGATGGAACGAGTACTGTAAAGTAATCAATGTGTAACAAACTATCACTGACGCCATACATCATAATTTTATATTTAACTTGGGTTTTCTCTGAAACATAATTTAATGAGAAACGCTGCAGATGTGCAACCATCTCAGACCCCAGCACATACCTACGGGAGAGCCTGTATTTTTCTATTATCCATCTTGTCTTTTCAAACACTAATCCCCACTGAGGCTCTTCTAACATCTGTTGTACTTCAAATTTGTAAGGTAAACCTAGAAAAGCATAAAGAAGCACATTTTCATCAACTATTTCTTAAATCTCAAATCTCCTTTTAATTACTTAAAATTCCCTTCAGTGTTTTTAAAACCACAGCTAGGCAGACCAGCTGAGCAGCACTTTAAATGTACTGAATTCATTAAATATTTATTACCTGACTGTACTTGGTTCACCAAGCATACTAATGCCAACCTATTAATAATCATGAAGAAAGATAAAAATGCCACTTTTGTAACAATTCTGTGCAAGGCACTGGGCGAGATACAACGATCATGTAATTTATCATCCAAAGAGACTTTTTGAATGAAAGGGGGCATAGGCTTAAGTTGGGACTGTCATCTCAACATTTTAAAAGCCACAGATTATTTTAAGCTTACAAAACAACGCTATCGGGAAGGCAGCTGACATGGTTTGTATCGACACCCCCAAGGGCCTCACGTGCTCCCAGGCAGTGCTTCTGGAAAGGATCAGTGATGGTGAGGGTTGCACAGAGGTGGGGCCTGGTGAAGAGGCAGGTCAGGGTGTGTGTGACCAGGCTCCTCCCTTGCTGCCATGACACCAACAGCTTCTCCTCTGCAGTACCCCTCTGCCATCCATCCTGCCTTGGACCAGTGGTCTGTGGACTTTTACAGAAGCCAAAATAAACCTCTTCCCCTTTAACTTGCAGGTGTTGGGTATTCTGTCCCAGTGACAAATAAAGTGACTAAGACAGAAGCATTATTTCTAGTTTTACAAATGAAAGAACTAAAGCTGAGAGGTTAAATAGGTGTTCTGGCTGGCAAAGTGAAGAGCCTGGGTCTGAGACGCAGGCAGGTCTGCCTCATTTCTAGCCTATGCTCTCCCCCTCCCTACAAGTGCCAGTCTAAGACCAGAGAGCAACAGAACAAACTGGGGAGGCATCAACTGCACTGAGTCAAGTGCTCAAGCAGTATCCGGGAGAAAAAGAAACCAAAGGGTGGACACATCATTTACAATGCTGCAAAGGGGAGAATACCGCAAGGTAAGCTATGTTAGCAATGTCTCACACACCTTTAACACACCGTGTAAATGTATTTGTGGTCTATCAAAGGCTCAACTGAGTCATTACCAAAGGCCAGTATCTTCACAGAGCAATACACCAATACTTGCCATGTACCAGGCTTTGGATGCTGTTTATAGCTGAAGTCATTGAAATGAAGCAGCTACCATTACTGTCCCCATGTTTCTGGAGGACAAGGAGCCATGGAAAAGTTACAACTGTTCACAGTCATATATACAAAGAAGGTCTTGAAGCCCCAGGTAGTTTGACTTGAGATTTTTTTTTTACAGTACTGGAGATTGAACCCAGGACCTTCACACTTCTAGACTGCTGGCATTACGGGTGTGCACCATCATGCCCAGATCAGAATCTATATTCTCAACTTTTGCACTGCACTCTCTCTCAACTGGCTTTTTAAAAAATTCAGGCTTTTCAAATAAAATGCCAACTAATCAGAAGGCATGGAAATAACAAGGGCAAAACAATGAACATACTTCTTCACAATAAAACATAATTTAACTATCAATATGCTCTGAAATATGCAATACCAGTAGTGTATGCTTTATTTTTTCAGGTGTTTGAGGGAAGCAAAGGGACGGCAGCCTGATGATGACTGATGTTTTCTGTAATTTCTCAATTTTCCTCCACTCCATTTTATTTCTCACAACCGGAAATTTAAGAAGAATGACACATTATAGCACACGAGCTATTAAGCAAATTTCTCCTGGCGGTTAACAGTAACTTACCTGACATGCTTTGATTACCTACCAAACACAGATATCAGCTGTAATCATAATCATCTGTTTAAAGCCAATTGGCTAACACTTCACATACAGTACAAATAATCCTTATAACTACCTCCCTCATAAGCAAAGTAACATTTTTTTTTTCATTTTACAGAAGTAGCAAAAAGAGCAGAGAGGTTAAGTAACCCATCCAAGGTAAAGTAACTGATAAGTGATACAGATGGGACCCTAATATACTTGATTGACCTCTATCTTTAATTTGAGTTGAAATGGGAATAATGTGAGATAATTAATGTGCTTTGAATCAGGGCTAAAGAAAACACACACACACTCACACTCTATGCAGCTCTACTTAGCATTATTAAAGTTTTTTTTTTAAGTTTAAAAAAGGCAGTAAAGCAAAACTTTCCTTTGAGCAGAATATTTTTATCCACTAAAACACTGAAAAAGTTAATCACCAAATAGTATTTTCTGACTGATACAAGTATAAAAAACAACCACAAGAAACATTTTAAAGGTGGGCCCCTGAGTTACAGGATCTACAGAATCCTGAATCTCGCACCACGTTTCCAGTAGGCATAAAGCAAAGGGCCAAAGCTAAGGACTGAATACTGAATATGGTATGGATGATGGACAGGTCACTGAGGATGCCACCCTGCCCAAAAGAGCCATCTGAATGACACACTGCTGAGTGTATGTGTACTGCCCAATGCAGGCTTGTTCTATGAAGCAGTTCTTTCCCCTGCCTGGGCTTCTTCCTGCATAAACCTTTATTTGCTTAATGCTTGAAAAGCACCTTCTATAAATCAGGAGTCACTCTCAAATTATCATTCTCTTTGTCCTCTGGAACGTAACTGCCTGGATCTGTCTGAGTCGGCCAGGCTCTGGGTGGGTGTCTCTTCCTCTTGCCATACCTGGAAATTCTTTCAAGTCAATAAGCGAGGGTAATTTGAAACCTAGTTCATCTGTTGCCAATCTCTTAGCAATCAGCTTCCTTCACTGCCTAAAGCTTTATTCTAAACAGCATTGTATGTATTTTTGCCTACTGTTTCGGTTGTTGCAGGCAGGTTCTTGTTACTTCATTTTAGCCAGAAGTGGAACTGCATGCACTGCCTATTAAATTTAACTTAGTTCTAATGAGTTTAACCTTAAACAGTCACATGTAACTAGTATCTATGGTATCAGCATCAGGATAAAATAAAAGTCCATGACCCAAATCTAGCAGACTATAAGAAATGATCTGCACTGAGAAGTTAACTGCAATTCTTCTTTTAGTACAGTTTATAAAATTATACTGAACCAGACTGGTGCACATCAGGAGTCATACTCAAATACGCATTCTGGACTAAACCTAATGCCTACATCCTTTATTCAGTAAAAACCCCAGCGGTGACCTCCTCCATCAAACAAAGCAATTAATTAGATGCTCTTGGGACAAAAACAAGACACAGTTCCTGCTCTTTGGGTATTCAGTTTAACAGAACTTCAATGAACAACAAATTAAGACAAAGTGACCATGAAAGCAAGGAAAGTGCTGCACATGCATAAAGAATAGAGCAACATGGGGGCAATGGTGGGAAGTCCTTATCAAATATAGGACATCGAAACGAAGTGATTAAGAATGATGAGAAATTAATTATTAAACATTCATTCTGTACCCACTGTATGCCAGCCTTTGTGCTACAAGCAGGACAGAAAAATGAATAAAATATAGTATGTACTCACAAAGATCTCATAATAAAGATGAAGATGCCGTGTGCCAACTGTAGTGCCAGTTGTCAGAGAAAACCCTAACTTGAACAACAACGAAAGGACAGAGGAGAAAAAACACCTGAGAGGTGCCCATTGTTGCTCTGACAACCTTTCTGTCCACATTCCCTTTCTTCTTCTACTCTACTAATTCTCTAGTCCATAAACTATAAGTTGCAGAGGAACCAAGATGTATGATGGGCTACACCAACCAAATTCTTTAAGACAGAAAGAATATTAACTTGTATTAAAAGTTAGTCACTGATAAGCTTAGTATTATGGGGAGATGACAGAGAATTGGGGTCATTTTTTTCCTTACCATGCTGTCACAGAAAAAGCTAGTCTATATTTACAAATATTTTCATGAGAGCAGGGTCTTTGTTCTTTTAATGACAACATCTCCATGCACAGCATCATCCTGCTTTTCTTCCCATTTTAGTCCTGCAGGGTAGCCATGGTTAAGACAGCGCTACCACCAAAGGGAGGAGGGAGATACACCAAGTGGCACATGAGCAGTGATCACAGAGTTGACAAACTTTTCCACTAGCTTCTCATCACTGTAAAGTCTTTGATTTGCAAGAGTCAAAGAAATGACGGTAGATACAGTGGGAAGTTTTTACTGCAGAAAACTTACGATAGAAGCCATTCGAGCTGATCTCCTCACTGATGACGAGGCAAGTAATCTGGGAATACGGCAAAGGATTGTTTCGATTATAGGGACTAATAATCATCCCAATGAATTTTGCACCTCTTCTTGAGAAGTAACTCTACAATGATAAAAAAAGTTTTATTACTGTTAACTATGTAAGTTTGAAAGTCAGCACTTATCCATACCAACACTCTAAATATCGAACAGGGGAAAAGGGAACAAAAAGGGACATTAAGAACTTCACATCCAAACAGCTACTAAGTGAAATGGCCTATGTATTCATTTCACACTAAAAATTTGAGGCCAAATCTATCCAATCCAACCTGAAAACACTCTTAAAAATCTCACTAGCAGCCAGGTGTGATGGTGAATGCCTACAATGCCAGCACATAGAAGGTTGAGATAGAATTTCAAGTTCCAGTCCCACATGGGCAACATAAGAGAAACCCTGTCTCAAAATAAAAAAGATCTGGCTCTGAGTTTAATCCTTAATAGCACAAACAAACAAACAAACAAACATGTGGCCTGCAAAAATCTACATTTGCCAGGAATACATTTACTAATTATACTGACTACTTTTCAACTGTATTCTTAATGCATTAATAATTTACAAAATAGCTGCCTACAGCAAAAACATGCACCAAACATAAAATTATAGGAAAAAACAAAAAGTTTTTCAGAGGTGCAAAATATATTAATGTTTCCAATTATTTCAATGATACGCAGTTCCTATCCTAGTTGCTCTGATTAATTTTTAAAGGCTCTGAGGATGCTTACCAGGGTTACTTTCATGGCTTTTCTAACAAAATTGCTGACTTTCCAAATGCTTATATATACGTAAGACATGCAGGGAGAAGGGAAGGGAAAGAAGCAAAAAGAATGAAGATGTGGTATGTACATGTACCACTACCAAGATGAATGTTATCATTATGTACTGCAAGCATGTTTTAATAAAAATTTTAAAAATTAAAAAAAACTTAAAAGCCCCAGATATAAAGAATATTAGAAATGCAGAGCTAAAAACATTAAAAGTTTATTTATTAACAAAAACCAGTATTTGAGAGAATATACACACATTACCCATACACCCATAATCATACCTGGTATTTGGCCTGTGTGTCAATATCTCGTAAGGAAGGATTAGGGTCAAATGCAGGATGAGAATGATACCATCCAATTACACTGTACCCTCTAACAGCCAAGGTTTCTGAGGCCTGTGTTTGTGATACAGGATCCATCTCACACTGTAGTCCTGTACTGAGACTGTTACATGGTTCTGCTGCACAGACCTATAAAGGACCAATCCTCACATGATTACACTGAAATACTACTCATTCTATCACTTCCAAATGAAGTATATGCCAAAAATGTGATTGTACGCTAGGAACTCAGCAAGCATTTACTCAAACAAGATCACCATAATGGTTATACAAAGGTATTCTTTCAATGATTCCTATAGTTTATGACAAATGATGCACATCAACTTTCAACTATAAATACTAGCACATATTTTTGGCCTCTTAGGAGTTGTAGCTTTTTATTGGTGAAAAGTCAAGGCCTGGGCATATTCTCCATTTTCTGATGGGAAAACAGATGCTTAATATATAGAATGCTGAGTCACTCCTTGGAATAAATAACTTACTGTATTTGCATAATCCCACATTTATCTTAAGTAACACCTGTGTTTTCATTATATTCACTAAATTCTATAAAGTAGTTGATGGGAGAAGGACTAAACGGTAGCTAAAATAGTTTTTGAAAAGACAGAACTTACTTCCACTATCTTACCAACTTCTGAGTATCTTCCTCCTAACAGACCAATTACTTCGGCCATAGAAACATGAGCATGCTAGAAGAAATACAAGAGAGACTTAGCCCAAATGCACAAACCCATCTGACAGAAAATCAGAATGAAACTTGTCAACACAGGGGTCATTTCTGAGTGTGATAACTACATTTTTCTAAAATAAAGTAGCACAGGAAAGGAACTAGCCGTAGCTTAGCACACAGAGCCTCAGATTTCAGATCTACCCTTACTGCTGGTTGGGAAGATTGAACCAAACACTCCAGATGCCACTTTTTCACTTACAAAACAAGGACATTACTTGATCTCTTTATTCAAGAAAAACATACTAAAAAGGCAAAGTAAAAATACCTGAGTCATTCTATTAAAAAGCACTACAAACAAGCATAACTGTTAGAGATATTGGTAGTTTAGTGCAAACAAGGAACCTCCAAATTATAGGAGTTGTGCTTTGTTTCAGTAATCTAAAAGGCAGCAGACGTGAGATATTAGGAAATGAAAATAGGGTTAATGACGGTAAACAGTCTGCAGAACTCACATTAATTTATTTCTCTAAAATATGGAAACATGCAATTGTCTGGCTTTTCTTCAAAAGAAAAGACTTAGTTTTAGATTCCTTGTAAAAGAAGATAGTTAAGATCCAAAATACACGTCTTCCATACTTTCTCTTATGCCTGCAATAAAAATACACAAGAATGGAAATCAGAATAATTAATTAAACACAATAGATTATCCTTACCAAATCCATTATTAAAAGTGCTTCTGAAGCCACTTTCACCTGAAATGGCTCCTGAAATTAAAAAAAAAAAGGGGGGGAAGCATAAAAATAGAGATTTCTGTTCTCCCCATTACCCACCCTCTTCTCCTTTCTCTAACAGAATTCTGCCAAATTCCCACCAGTGATCAAAGCTTGGCAGAACTAGACTTTTTAAACATTATTCTTCAAAATCCCGCAGGGAGAACTTCTAATTTTCCATCCATGTTATTTATTTGACCCTAAATATACCTTGCACACATAGAAAAATAATATTTCCTGTCTGATGGACAGTATTTATGGGCTTTGATATACAAATCGTACCTGCTTTTCTTCACTAAAAATATTACAAGGTATCAGCTGGAAGGGATCAAATGAGCTGAAAATGAAAACAATATACACTTTTAGTATAATCTCAACAAGATCACGAAAAAAATTTATTTACAAAACTGAAAATGTATATCAATAATCTAAACCCACAGTATGTCTCAATGAGAACAATACTGAACTAGGAGAGATTCTTAGGCTGTTCCATATAACCATTTTGAAGAAAGAATTGTCTTTAGATTTGACCAAAAATAGGAACTTTGGGAGAAAATAACTGTCATGTTAATTTCCTTTGATACTTAATGCATATAAAATAAAGATGTGTTGTACACCAGAAGATTTTTAAAGCATTCAGTGAAATGTAACTGAATCTCCAACATGAGACCTGAAAGAAGTTCACTATAGAGTTCCTCAAAATTACTTCAGTTCTGCCCATCCCAGAGAGGTTCATCCATAATTATTGTTTGAATAAATGAGTAACAAATAATTTTCCTGAAAAAATTAAAGTACACAGTCCTATGATACTCTTCTCTTAAATGCAGTGAGAGAGAAAGGGGAAGCCTGAGCAAGGCTAGATACAAAAGTATGTATCAATCTGAAACAAACACTAGCAAGATTTTTACTGTTACAGATATTTGAGAAACATATTAAGAACAATGTAAGATTTTTTAAGGTTGTGTTCAGAGAAAGAAAAATAGGAATATATTCTTGCCAACACAACAGGAAAAGAGCAGGACTATTCAACTCAAATGCTCCCCAATAGCACAAAGCAGTGCCAAGAAGACACTTTGCTCTGCTTTGTACTGTGTATATCCCAAGGGCTGGAGCAGTACCCAAACACAGCGAGTGCTCAAAAAATACTGCTGAATGAAGAAAGGCCTTTAAGTCAACTTAATAAAAAGGAATGCAAGGCTGAGGCAGATGAGAGAAACAGAGAACAGAGTAACAAGCACACTTCAGGCCTCCTAGGAACTATGGTTGTGAAGTACTGTCACTACTTCTTGAAGGCTGCATAGAATGAGAAAGTGATCAGAGGACTATGGATAGGCAACTATGGGCTAAAATACGAAAAGAGCAGATTTCAGAGGAATTCAATATGGAATACTGGCAAATTTTTAGGAGACTACTAAACAGCTGATTGGTGAGCATTTACCAAGTGAAGAGGTAACTAAGAACATTAATGAGTTCACGCAATGTAAATCATAATAAATAGATCCCATCATAGATACTTTTGATAGGAATGATCTTCTAGAAGTTAGCAGGCTGCATATTCAAAAATTTTATCTGAACTTAAGGAAGACACCTGCTATGATTATACTTCTGCATAAGATGAAAAAATATAGGTTAAACGTAGGAATATAAATTAGTTGACTGAACAATGTCTGAGGTTTATATTTATTCCACTTAAACATTTTATTTGGTGACCTGTAGCAAAAAAGGCAAGCTCATGGAAATGTTGACGATGCAACCACAGAAAGGCTAAAGAGAGAAAGAAGATCTGTATTTAAAGGTTGCTAACAGTCTGGGACAATGAGTTGAAATACACAATGAATGTACATCTTATACAGACTCAGAAAATCATACGTCTAGATACACTAGATGAGCTCTGGCTCATGGAAAAATGTATTTTTATATAGTCTATGTTCACAACAACAGTGTAAGTTTAATTTTTATTTGACAGAGGCCATATATAACATAATGAATTATATATTACAAGGAATATCGATTCTTAAGTCAACTGCCTGAGCTCCACCACTAAATTGCATCAGCAAGTTACTAGCTCCTACACCTTTTCTGCCTTAGTTTTCATTTGTAAAATGGGAATAACTACTGCAGTGAGTTCTTACGAAGATCAAATGAGCTGATATATGTGAAGTGCTTATAACACAGCTAATAGTGTCAGCTATTTAAACTATTACTTTATATATTAGGACCCAAACTTTATTTAAGGACGAACAACTGGTAAAAAATGACCTACTGGCACTCCTATATCTTTTCAATGAGGCACCAGCAGGAAGTGAGGTCAAGAAAATCAAGGCATTTTGCTAATTTGATGACCCTTAAGATAAAAACTTACAAACTTTAGTATATATATATTCACACACAAACCCAGGTCCACACCCCCAAACAACTTGCAAATAACAGCCTGAGAAGAAAGCCAGGTATTTCACAAAGTTACCTGTCCATAACGCCTGGACCACTGGTTACAAAGACCTATGAAATATGTCCATGCTCAATGAACCTGAACTCTAAAACTTCAGCTTCAGGTTTCCAAACTGATATAAGTAAAACTTAAAATTTCTAAAATCTAACCAACTACTTTTCACTTTGTTAGATTAAAAAATGTTCCACCTAATATGTCTTCTGTGAATACTGTAATGCCACTATTGGATATTTTTTCCATACATTTTCTATCGTAATGATAAATTTTTAAAAATTGTATTTATGTAACACAACACTGTACCTTTTTGTTGATCTTGACACTTTTGAAGATTTGGCAGGTTTGTTATTTTCCTCTTCTCTTCTTTTTGCCAACTCCTCAGCAGAGAGATGCTAAAACAGAATAGCAGTTGATCAGAGTCCATTGAATACTGAGAGGTAAACAGTCCTTTAAAATCAGATTTAAAGGCATGTAAGAAAAAGACAGACTAAATTGGTACGATGAGAGACTAAAACACACTAACACAGGTGCTGGACGCCATTTTGAAAACACTGTTTCAAAAAAACATAGCCATATCAAACTGAAGATGTTCTCCTCTTGGCTTGCCCATTTCAATTAGTGGTATCAAAACCACCAATGACCAGAGTCTTTTGTTCCTGTTTCTAGCTACCAACTCCTGCGGTGCTGAATTTTCTTTTAACAACTGAGATACGTGACACTGCAGTGATATGAACAGTACCAGAGTCTGGGGGCTGAGGGTACAGCTCAGTGATTCAGTGGTCAAACGCCTGCCTAGCATGTGAGGCCCTGGGTTCAGTCTGGGGATGGGGGTGGAAAAGCCACAGTACCACACAGATTCTGAAGCTAGAAGAACTGGCTCTGCTCTTTACTATCTGGATAACCACACGCTAGTTTTGAAACTTTCATGTTTCAGTTTCCTCATCTTTATAAATGGGAACAATAACACTAACAATAGTGACATTATGGTACATGATGAAGTTAAATGAGTTGAAGTTTATACTCCATTTTGTTTCTACTAACCTTACATTCTAGCTGAAATGAATTATGCAGCTTTTATAGAACATATCCAGGATCTCCTATGTCTTGCTTCTCTTATGCCACTCTCTCAGCAGAGAATGCTTTTATCTACCTTTTTTTTTTCTTTTCTTGCAGCGCTGGAGATTAAACTCAGGGCCTTCACACAGAGCTACATCTCCACCTCTTTTTCTATTTTGAGACACAGTCTAAGTCACTAAACTATTCAGAATGGGTTTCAGTTTATGATCGTCCTGCCTCAGACTCCTAGAGTACTTGGATTACAGTCATGTGCCACCATATCCAGCTTCATCTATTTTTTGAGATGATTCTACTGATTCTTTGGATCAAACACCACATCTCCTGTGACATCTTTCCCTATCAAACCCTTTGCAAAGATCTTACAATTCTTGGACCAACTTACCATAGGCTTTGTCTTTCCTAGCAGAAATATAAGTTCACTAGGGGAAGGACCAATTTATTACTTATAATTATGCCTAGGACAGCTGGGTGTGGTAGCACGTGCCTGTAAATCGCAGCACTTAAGAGGCTGAGGCAAGAGGACTGCTGCAATTTCGAGGCCAGCCTGGGGTATATAATGAGTTCATGTCGAGCTTGAATTACATAGTAAGACCTCATCTCAACACACCTCCCCCCCAAATTCCTAAAAGAGTGCTTAGGTATGAGATGGGGGACCAGGAGCGGGGGAGGGAAGAGAGGAAGCTAATGTTTACTGAGTAGCTATGTATTGTTGAGTATCCAATATTAGGACCTTTATATATGTCACTTATTTCTTACAAAGTCTTTCCAGGGAGAACTAGCTGTACTTCATAAGTATAAAAAAGAGATTCATTGAAGTTAGGTAGCTACTCTTGGTAATACAGGTCCACTCATTCGTTTCCACTTTAGGGTACTGGTTGGTTACAACAAATTATATATTTAGGACATTTATGCATGCATATATACAAATATACTATAACATTCATTGCCTATGTTCTTTGTAGGAGCCTGTATTTTATTAGTAGAAATAACACTTCCATATTTGTAATTCAGTGTGTCTAATGTTTAGAACAGCATTTTAATTGTTATATCAGAACACCATTCAGAAAGTATTTAATGAAACTACTGGGCATACTTCTTGGCACCGGCATAACTAGGGATGAGAATGCAAAGCTAGAGAATAAAACTCAGTAAAACTCTTAGCCTTCCCCTGTGCTGTTTATTGGTAAGTTCTAGACAGACAAATTAATTTGGGAATGACATTAGATACATACGAGAATGCATGAAGCAAGTGTAACATAAAAGAAATTACGAATACAAATGTACATTGACAAAAACAGTTTTTACATATGGAACAGCTAGGTGAAGGGCCATTTACCTCAAATGTCTGTCCTTCTAAATCCTTTGCATCACACCAGTTTCCCCATGGGTCTCGGACCCTCCGCCTCCTAGTGCGCTGTGATGAGAATGAAAAGCAACAGGTGGAGAAATCACAGCCCATTCATATCCGAAACAAAAACTGTAATTATCTAAAAAGTATGAATCTGTGTAAGTATTGTGATCTAACTCTCAGTGACTCACTTAGCTCTATTTGTTAATTCATGTCTGGCAGTCAGTACTCTATTCAGCAACATGTCACTTCCTGGGCAGCTCAGGGTAAAAACAGTGGCATAGGTGAGCAGGTATGGGCTGCTGGGGGCAAAAGTGCTGCTGATTTTCTGCATTTTACTTGCATTTCTTTAATTTTCATTTCTAGTCACCATTTAAGAGCCAAAACACTCAAGACAAAAATATCTTTAAGAAATATTTTAACCACCAATAAAATGTTTTTTCTTTTAACCACATGTATTAGAAGAAACTGCAAACTCGAAGCAAAATAATTCCATCTTAGCTTTAAAAAAGTTTACTAAGTTAATACATAGAAAAGTTACAAAATTTGTTGAATATAGTATTAAGATCCAGTTCTGAAAACTTCAGTATGGAGGCCTTTAAAATGGACCAGGCTGCCAGGGGCCAATGTATGACCTGGTACCACCTCCAACTACTCTATTTTTAAGGATTTATAGATTGTTTGGCCTCATAAACCCCAATAAAACTGAAAAGAAGACAGAAAAGCCATGGCTAAGATGAGGTAACAAGAGAAAACACACTCATTCAGTAAGTGGCAGTTAAAGAGAAGCAGGCATTCCTTCCACACAGGGAAGAGCAGTATGGAGAAAGATGGCAGCTTACCATAGACTGCAGGCGCTGTGCAAGCTGGTATGCCTCTACAGCATCTCTTCTGTCTCTGACTCGAACTTTATCAATTGGTTGTGGCCTATTATACACAGCCTGTTCTATCGGGATTTAAGGAAGATAAAACAATCTCTGTATGAAAGTCACTGGTTAAATAGGAAGACATGTCTATATTAACTATAGCTGAGCTCTTACGATGCTTATTTCACAATCCTTTATGTGATACATTACTCGGTAGTTCTCAAACTAATGCCATTATTATAAAACAGTAAAATGAGATTATTTAGGAGCAAGAAATTTGCTTAATTTCTTACTAAACAAGTACTCAATCCACTCTGCTAACTTTGGCAGTTTAATACAGAAAACATGATTTTCTATTAGTAGCTGACAAGAGAGCTTAAAACACTTTCATTTTCATGAAACGCTATTCTCAATGTATGGAATACATGGCTTTGGGCAAACCAAGCCACTAATGTGCAGGACAGACCCCAAAGCAGACTGTACATTCTCTCTTATATATAAAATGAAATCATCTGTCAGGAAGTGTTCTGATTCGTCATCTCACCTGTATACACCCAAAGAGTATACTGCTCTGAGACCATGGGTGGTAAGATTCTAACTACCTATCACTATGCAGCTTTCCTCAAAAAGTTTTCAATTCAATAAACAGGCAAAATGTACTTTGAAAAGTGCATATTCAGTAAGTTTAACTTTGAAAAAAACTAGAAGGAAAGAGACTTACATTAAAATACTTTCGTGTTTTTATACCATTTACATATAGAAGCCATAAATTATTTCCTTTATTTAATCACTGCTACACAGCATTTCTAGCACAAATACAGAACAAGTTGAATAACCCTTATCTGAAATTTTTAGGACTAGACGTAGTTCAGATTTGGGATTTATACTTGGATTTTGGAATACTTGTGTAAAAATATTCCCAATATCTGAAACTTTTTAAGTGCCATGCTGGCTTCAACTTTTTTGTTTTATTTTGAGACAAGGGCTTACTATATAGTTACTAGAACTCAATGTGTGTTTGTAAATTAAGTGGGATAGTACTGGAATTTGAACAAAATTATTTTACATTTATCAGAGAAATATATTCTTAAATTATTTCTATCTGATCAAGTATTTTTCCATTAAAAGCATATAATTCTATTTTCACTGCAGGTCAAAGAGGAAAAGTTTCATCAGAAGAATCTTTTACAGCAAAATCTTAATAACATGTTCTGTAATGTTACAGTATCTCTCTTAAACCTATCTGAATTCTAAGTATCAGAGAAATTAATGGACACTATAAGGATAAAAAATGTTGAGTAGAAAACGCTGGGCTTCTGTTTTTACCACATCCAAAATTGATCGCTCCTATCAACTCCAGGTATGTATGAATCCGTCCAATGCAGTTGACATCTCCACAATTCTTCAGGCCAGGGCGTACTGAGGTCTTATTCAAGTAGTTCGGTTTGCGCATCTCCCTAATTAAGAGACAGAAGTGCAATTACTTTGGATGAATAAAAGCATGGAAACAGATTTCTGGGCAAACTTCTAACATCTGAAATCTCTTAATACTTTATATTCTTGCAATGTGTAAATGTGCAGTAAATATAGTGGATGATACTCGTATTTTTTTTCAGAAATAAAATACCTTTCAAAGACACAGTAACTTACAAGTACCTGCACAGTGTAATTTTTCCAAGTATTATTCTTTTCATAATATTACACTCATAAATTCTAGTTTTCCCAGGACTTTGAAATTAGTCCCAGTACTCTGGGAGGTTAAAGCAGCAGAATCTCAAATTCCAATTGAGTCTACGCAGCTTAGTAACTTTAAGAGACCCTGCCTCGAAATATAAAATTAAAAAAAGAATAGGGATGTGGCTCCGTGCAAAGGTCCTGGGTTCAACTCCTAGTACAACAACAAATGGCTTACTTATGTACAGATTCAAAATCATGTCCAGAAGTCCAGATCTTTGACTAAAAAGGGCACTTTTGATAAAGCAACAGATTTATAAGTACATCATCTCTGCACCCCCGCTCAATTCTGGGGAACAAACTCCAGTCTCCCAAGTATGCTAGACAAGTACACTACAATTAAGGTGTAACCTCAGCTACTAGATTTTTTGATTTCTAATATATTTCTTAGGTTTACTTACTCTAGCTTTGCCAGACAATGTCTTTTAATTATTAGCTATTTTAAAATGTTTAAATCTTTGTGTTTATTTTAAATCATGATGCCAGTAAGTATTACAGCAGAAAACAGAACTAGATATTAACTATAGGGAATTCCAAAGGAATCAAGAAACTTAGCCAAACTAGGAAAGAAATAAATTCATAGAATAAAACAACGATTTAGTCTCAGCAGAAAACAGAACTAGATATTAACTATAGGGAATTCCAAAGGAATCAAGAAACTTAGCCAAACTAGGAAAGAAATAAATTCATAGAATAAAACAACGATTTAATGAATATATTTAATGTACTATGCTTGACAGCACAATTTAATAGTAACAGAGAATTTAATAATCCCATTTTAGAAAGGAGGAAGCAAGAATGTAGTATGATTACAGCCCTTACTTAAGATAGTGACAGAAACAGGATACAAGTATAGATACTATAAGCTAGGTATTTAGCTATAATCACAGATATTTACTATTCAACCACTATTTTATTCTATGACTATTTTGTGTTCTATACAGCAAGCACTGTTCAATATACAGAGACAAACAATTTAAAGTTCTTGACCTCCGAGACTTTATACTCCAGTGGGGGAGGCCATTAATAGATCAATGAATAATAGCAATAGTGCTCAACAAAAAAGTAAAAAGGATAAGGGGATAGAACGTGACAAACAGAAACAGACTGTTTTAGATAGGGTGCTTAGGGAGTGGCTCCCTAAACAAAGACCAAATTTAAAACATAAGGCCTCTGAAGTCCAGGGAAGGGAAAAAGAGATCTGTGGTATGGGAGACATCCTAACTTCCAAGGAAAAGTTCAGATTTCGGTGTGTCTTGAAAAATTCCACAGATAACAAACTGCACAAATGAAGACAAGAAAGCAACACCCACTGATTACACCAACCACGGTAAATGACTTATGAGACCACTGCAGCTGCAGTACCTATATAGATTATTCTGCCTCACTTAGAATCCAAAAATCAAAATAACAGGATCTGATGACACTAACACCGAGGACACACTCACTGATGACTCATATAGACATTTATCTGGGCAGTTATGGTTGTAAAGCTCTTCAATTTTGGCTATTTACCCTCTTATTTCTAAAACAGTGTCCGTTAAGCAAAGTAGAATAAGAAAGAGTAATCTAGAGAACCAAGACTTGCCAGCTTTCATGGGATAGTGAGTAGCTGTGTGACAAGACAGGTACCCAAATCTCTCCTAATCTCAGAATCATTCTCTACTGAATAGAGAAAATACCACCTGCCTATTTCACACAATTGCTGTGAAGAATCAAAATGAGATGATACAGTAAAGCTTTCCATAAACTGTGAAACACAATGTAATTGTCAGGAGTTGTTTCTTATAACTATGGTGCACACCATCTTTAGTCAGAAGTTGTGATTTTTTTTATTTTAAAGAGAATAAAAAATAATAAAAAAAACATTAGAAACGATGCAGAATTTCAAAAAAAGTTGTGGTTTTAACACTTTAACCAATGTAAGATGACCTTGATTGAAGAACATGAGCAAAACCCTTTTAAAATATGGCTATCTTTTTTTTTTTTTTTTTTTTTTTTTTTGGTCTTTTTGAGACAGGGTCTCGCTAAGCAGTTCAGGCTGGCCTTGAGCTCACTTTGTAGCCCAGGCTGGTCTTGAACTTGCAACAATCCTCCTGCCTCAGCCTCCTGAGTGCTGGGATTACAGGCATGCACCCCGACGGCCGGCAATACGGCTATCTCTAAAAGGCAAGTAACTTAATGTTGTCTAAGTGGCCCAAAGGTCACTGATTTAGCAAGCAGTGTTCCTGTAGTAACATTCCTAGGATATGGCTAGAAGTTACTGCAGTAAGACAGGAAGACCTTTGACATAACAGAATGGAAAACAGACAAAGCAGAACCCTCACCCAAGAAACTGAGAAGCTCTCTGAAGTTGGCCCTACACAAATCAGTAATTCCTGAAACAGTAACAGCAATTTTGAATATTTAATGATGGCTTAATAAGCAACAAAAAATTGCAATTACTTTCAAAGTACTTAGGCTAACAAGGTGGAAAGTACTCTGGTTTGTTCCCTCTCCCCTACTAAGTAATTCAAAGAAAATATACTGATAATTTAGACAATTACTGTATCCTGATGAAGGAATTATTAGCACATTATGCCACAAGCTTAAAACATTTAGATCATTATTTAGGAAAATGGTTCCTGTACTCCAGCTACATTTAATGACACTATTCATTTAACACCAAATTTTTCCTTCTTTTAACTCAAGGTACATGATAAACCTGGACAGAAATTCCCTTTCTCACTACAGTAGTTTTTGACGAGCCATTAAAACCTATGGTGGGTGTTTAAATAAGAAACACACTGCCACTGACCCCTTTCAAAATCCTCCCCTTTGCTCGGAACACACTTATCCCATCACTCTTGCCACTCTCTGAAGCAGTTCGAGAATCCTTTCTCCTGAGTACTTCAGGTGCACTGTCAGAGCTGCTTTTGTGTCCTGAATTGACTCAAAACCTTTAGCTCCCATGGTCTTGCTGGCTCTGGGGAGCAGCATGTCATGCAGTGCCAGGCCCAGTGAGTAAGGCAGAGGAGGACACACCAACATGTTTTCAGAAGCCTGCCTCTCCGCTGGAGAGCACTCAGGGGAGCACTTACAGTTTTCTCTATCATACCTCATAAACTGCTTCTAGAAACACTTCCAGACTGCTGCAGAAAGTGGCAAGCAAGTGTGCTCAAAGGGTGAGAGAGTGTTTCGAGAGGGATTAATGGCAATGTGTCTTTTCCTGGATTAAATTTTTTAAAAAAATTTAACATTTATCACATTTTTCAATCACCCATTGCATAACTTCCCAATACTGTTACAAGAAATTGCTTTTCTTTTTTTGTCTGAGACAGGGTTTCACTATGCAGTTCACGATGGCCTTGGCTTGCCTCGAACTCACAGCGATCCTACCTTAGCCTCCCGAGTGCTGAGATTATAGGCATGCACCACCACACCCTTCATTCAGAAATTGCTTCTTAAAGCAATTACTTATCACCTTTTTTTCCAGGCCCAAATGCTCCAAAGCACAGACAGGTTTTGTTAGCAACAGAAGACAATGTTTGCCAGTGTTTTAAAAAAAAAAGTGTCACTATGAGAAATTTAAAATATGAAATGGTGATACATGAAAGCTCTTGGGGTCACTACAGCAAAATCCTAAAGCCTGAACAGGCCTAATTAAAATACTTCAAGGCATCCAGTTTTTAAAGCAGTATCTAAAATGTAATTCTTACCATTGATCCAAAATGTAATTTCTAATTTTCAAATAGCGCTCTGGTGTCTTTGTTTGGCGCCCCTCAAAAAACTCAGGAACTGCTTGTTTTTCTTCTTCTTGAATGACATTTCTATCTATTTCTACTTCCTGTTCTGGTGGCTTAAGCTCTTCTTCCTCATGGCTTTCCTCCACCATTTGGTAAGAATGAAAAAGCACTTCATTATTACTTGGATCCTTCTGAATTTCACAAAGCTCTGAAGAAGGCCTTGGCCTGGCATCATCTATTATTCTGTTTCCATCATGCAGCTTATTACATTTTTCGTCACTTAACTCAACTGAGTTTTTGCCACTGGTGCTCTGTTCTTCAGTCCATAATGTGTTTTCTGAGCTTGCATGCATTTCCATTTCATCTTGCTTTATACTATGAAGGTACTCCCCGGAAGACTCAGAAATGGGACTTGCCTGGGGTACACATACTCGGTGACTGGTTTCGTGTGTTTTACTATTAGGACTGTCCAATGAGAGACCACTGTCAGGATTCTTCTGTGGTGTTTGAGAAGTCAACTCATCTACCTCATCAGTGATGTCTACTTCTTCATCATCAGACAACTTTTCAATCTTTACAGCATTCAAGTTAGGATCAACGCGTCCCCTTGGATACGATGGCATCTGGGCTGCGGCACCTTTATCTTCATTTTCAACCTGAATTTCACTGCTACTCTTCTCACTGTGTGTTTCTTTCTCAGGACCCCACTTTGCCTTATTAAAAATCAGAACAAAACTCCCGTAATATTAGATACATTTTTTAAGGTAAGTACATGTTAACAGTACATTAAAACTGCTTTGTGCTTTTTAAAAATGGGTTTAGAACTGCTCTTAAATGTAAAAGATTGCCATTTTAAATTTCCATAAACATGTGCCTCACTCATCCTCAGATGACTCTTATTAATTAAATAATCATGATCTATACACAGCCGTCACTTTTTAAAAATATTACATTTAAAACAGGGGTCTGGCTCAGATCAACCATAGAGAATTAACAATTTCCATACTAAAGTGTTGCATAAAATACTGGTGTATTTACAAAGGCTTATTTTTCACAACATCTGACAACCTCATTTCTTATAATGGTAAAATAAATAATCCTTTGTTTGAATGAATCTATGTCACATATTTACTCAGTAAACCAAAACCAACTTTCATTTAAAAGAAAAATCTTTTTGGCAGGTTCGTTTAATGCAGCTTCAATATTGTACACTTTGTATTTGAAGCCATGATATTATCTTCCACATCTGCTATTCCACAAGTATCTAATAATATAATAAGAAGACAATGGGAGTCAATGAGTAAATATGACTTGAAATGAAAGTATTCATATACAAAGTTTTTGAAAGAGCTTCTAAATAATTGATATCCCAAGGGATATGATAGCTCTCAGTAAGCAATCACAGATCCTCTGTCACAATGAAATCCCAGGGTCATGTATCTGAAGTTATCTAGTTCACTATTTAGAGAACAATGGGAAAAGGAATTTTGGATATATCAGTTGAAATAGCCTTTAACAGCCTTCCTATGTTTTTGCAGTCTCTTGGTTTTTGTTGGTTTTATCTGTTTTTGTTTCTTGTTTTTGGTGGTGCAAGAATCAAATCCAGGGCCTCATACATGATAAGCAAGTACTCTTATCACTGAGCTACATCCCCACACCCTTTGTCTCCTGCTTTTAATCTTAGAAATTCAGATCAGATTTTGTATTGGATTTCATACATTAATGTCTGTTATAATAGTAAAATGTACCCTCCTACTCAAGTCTTTTGATACTCCCACATAAACTCCATGTTCTAGTTTGACAGACACAGTGATAAGAATAACCAAGTTTCTTAATATCTTAAACTTGGTGAGCTACTCTGAAATTGCTTTTGTTAGCCTGCTGGTGAGAAGGAGCAGACGACTCAGGTAAATCTGAATCCATTCTATTACGTTCCACTTATTCCAAGCTAACACTATGATAAATCTTGAATACAAGATAGAGCACATTATTTATGTGAAAACAAACATCCAATTTTAGTTAAGACATTTCCAAATTTTATATATTTGCAGAGTTCAAGCAGAACAGGTTTAAAAATTCTAAATATCAAAATTTTACAATTGAATACAGCACAAATTACTTGAAAGGCTAAGGAACTAGACCATATCTCCATCTTTCTAAATACTACAACTTAGTTAACTTTTCAGACAACTCATAACAACTGTAAAACCTCCATTGCTATTAAATAGATTTCAGAATCATGTTAGCATTTATCTCCCCTAAGCACCAATGATTTTTTAAGTTTCTATAATGTAAATATTTTAAAAAGAAAAAGTATTTTCCAGAGAAAAACAGTAAGACCTATAGTTTTCTTGTAGGAATATTATTTTCTTCATAGCATGCTTCTGAATAATTAATATTTTTCCGTCTACTTACTAATAAATGAAATGGGATAATATGGTATCTTTAATAACACTTAAAACACTGAAGCTAGCTATAAGGTATTAAAAAATGAACATCTGTATAGTGTTTTACAATGTAAAATAACTGCTCACTATAAAAACTTATACATTTTATTTAGTGCCTACATTAAGTATTTCTGCTTGCTTATTTTTTAAGAATTCTAAACAGTATCATTATCTACTATGATATTTGTATCCGGCTTACCTTATTTTTAAAGTACTGTCTGGCATAACTCTTCACTTGTAGAACAGTGCGACTTCCAATTAGCTTTGCAATTTTGGTCCACCTTCGACCAAATTTAGTCTGTTATTAAAGTGAAAAAAAAGCTTGATTAGCTTACTTTAATTAATGTCTTAAAAGCAAAAGCCACATTAAAAATGCACTAAAAACTCCTTTTAAAAGTTATAATGATCAAATCTAAGATCTATTATTTCTGTTATCTAACTGTACATTATGAGGATCCACATCCAAAATATATATTTTAAAGAAGTATGAGCCTAAAATGGAGGTTACGTTTTCCATTTATAGGATAAGTGAACCTGTTTTGCATAAATTACAAGATTTTTTGTGCCCAGTTCCATATTTCACAATGTTTAGTGAACATCCCACCTCAGATACTTTTACTCTATACAGATATTAGTCAAATGACTCCCTTCTTTCCCTTTCTCCCTCTCTCCCCCACCTCAGCTTTCATATACTGAACTACATCCTCAGCCCTTTGTCTGTTTTTGACCCAAGGTCTGCATCACTAAGTTGCCCAGTCTGTGCTCGAACTTGCGCTCTTCTCAGAGTGCTGGGCTTACAGGCACCATTACGCCTGGCTCATATGGGTAATTTCTTAAAACTTGGAAGTATTTCTGGGAAAATTATCAGTACAAATTAATTATTTTTAAGACTAACAAGTAGCTGAGATTAATTTAGTGAAGAATCAGTTCTATTTATAATAAGTAATTTGATAGTGTGGTTATGGAGACAGAGCACTGGATAAAGTATAATTACTTGAAAGACTGGGGGCTTGTACACTAAAAAAACTATTTCAAAACGAAAAAGGACAGACCTATGTGAGAGAAAAGGAAGGAAAAATCTTCCGTCATTTAGAATCATATAATTCCTTTCTCTCAAGTCCCAAAGAATTTAACCTGTAAGCAAACTGCATCAATCAATAGGTTAAAACAGTGGTGACACAACCAGTAATTCCATGTTTCTTGTGTAGAAAAACATTCTAATTTTTAAAATCTCTTAAAACAGCTTTTTACTTATCTCTTAACAAATACACACTTGTTTATGTAGACACAAAATAACTCTGGAAGGATACATGACACTGATTACCTCAGAAGTAAGAAAAATCTAACAACCCTCTATCATTTCCGATAGCTTTCAAACTTCGCAGGTCCCATAACTATTGCCATTATTAATAATAACAACCAAATGTAAACCTTAAGCTCACAGGCCACTTGCATATGTTTGTACATATATATCTCATCTCTGGCAAGGGTAAAACATCAGAAGTTGTCAGAAGTATTAGAACACAACTAGTTAAAGTGAGGTTATCACACAACAGATAGAAACACCAATATATATTTTAAAAAATCACCAGTATAGAAAAAAGTCCTTAAAGATAAAAACCTCAAGTTTATGTATTTACATTATGAACATCATTGGGTATGCAGATGACATGATGTAACTAGAAAAATATAAACATTTTATTTCTCATCTGTAAAAATGCTAAATAATATTTCGATTTGCATTCATACAGCTTAAGTATTACACAAATCTTGTAAATATGCAAATATAATTTTCAAGTTAATTACAATACTGAGTAACAAGTACCTTAAAAGTAAACATATAATCAACCTTGAAAGCTTAAAAATATTCCTAAATATTGTGTTAAAAATTTCTTCATATTCAGTACTTCCAGAATTAGAAACCACTGTATATTATTTTCCCATTATTTAACTTGTACACATTTAAAGAGATTTCAGTGGAATATTCAGACAACAGAAATGTTTCTGGTCTTTAAACATGGACTGAGAAGTATGGACCGTGTACACAATGCCAAATAGTTTTTTGAAAAAAACAAAACTCAGCTGATCACTTAGTTTCAAACATACACAGGTTTTTTTTTGGGGGGGGAGGTGTTTTGTTTTCAGAAAACATCAAATGTTTTGCCTTTCACCTAGGTGTCACATACACAGATACAGCTCAATTTCTTGGACTTAATTAGCACCAAAAAGTGTGGTAACTACCAAATTATCAATCCAAATCTATTTTAGTATTTCATTACCTTAGATCTAAGTTAAAAGGAATTGTCTTGTATTACACTATAAATATTACTCTACAGGAAAACTAAAGTTATTATAAGTATAATTAAAAATTCTGGTTGCTACAAGTTAACCTTATAACTTTACCAGTATTTGCTTCTAGAATCATTTTACCATAAATTAGAAATTGCTCTATTTACCAGCCCTTGTTCAAACAGCTCTTTTTCTTCTATCGTCCACTTTACTGAGTAACTGGCTGGTTTTGTAGGAGATTGTACCCTGAGGGGGAAAAAGAGGAATTGCAAAGAAAATTTTCTGAAATGGAACATTCCATATTTATGTAGCTAAAAGGTTATCGACAGCCACTGGCTAATTCAATACTTTTGAGTCTAAGAATTTAAAAAAAAAAAAAAAGAAAGAAAGAAAGAAAGCTGCAGCCTCTATCTAGGGGGAGAGATTTACCATTCAATATCCCTACTCAGGATGACAGAGCCCCAAAACACGTAATCTTTGGGTTTGAGTGAGACTAACACTAAAAGACATCAAAGGAAGCCAGTGCAAAAGGCAAATATGTAGCCCCACTTAAGAGTGAACACAGAGCAGCAGGTGTTAACACATTCCTAAATCTTCAAAGGCATGTAAGAATTTCAAATAATTCCAGATATAACTCTGGCTCTCATGTGTAAACCCATGTAAATATTAAGCCAGAAAAGTAACAAAACTATAGCGTTAGACTTACTGCTTTTAAAATTCTGTATCCTAAGAAATTTAACATACTGATGAAGTTCAATTTAATTAAGCCATTAATCTTTCCATTAACTTCACTTTATCACTGTTTAAATACAAAATCAAAGGCTGTTCACTGCTCAAGCTCATGGGCAACTGCAAATGCATAGGTCCGCCCTTCAATGTGCATTTAAAAACATAAAATAACGTCAGTGTTTTCCCAATCATGGGGTAAGACAAACACTCCTCATTTAACAACCAAGTTCTGTACCTAGAAATAGGTCATTAAATAAATTGGTCACTAAATGAGGAACTGTATATAGAATGTAACTGCAATAATCAAAACAAAGAAACAGTCAAAGGAAACTCCAAATGGATGACTTTGCTTTTGTTTGTATAACTCTTACATGCAGTCCTGTAATGTTATAGTACTGCACAAACAAAGTACACGGCACAAAAAGAAGACATTGAGGCTCCCTAAACAAGATACACAGACCTGCACAAACAGAAAAGATGGGTTGTAAGTCCAAGTGGCAGGTTTTAAAAGGTCCAAACAGCATACCTCAGTCATAAGTCCAAACAGTTGTTAAACAGGTAGGTTGTTAAATGAGGACTATCTGTAGTTACTTCGTCTAGATTAATTCTTGAAAGCCAAATTCAAATTATATTTTTTTCAAAATAACTTAAAATTAGCTGACACAGCAATAAAATCAAGTCAATTCATACTATATTAGATAGCTTCTTAAAAAATTTTCCCTCTAACATCTACAGGAAACCATCTTTTCCATAATGTAAATTGCTTAAACAGGGTCATAAGAGAAATCCTGGCGAATAACTAACAATGTAAAACTATACTTATCACATTCCAACATCTATACAAAGACCTTTGTTTTTATATTTTCTTTATTTTTATTTTTTTGTTTGTTCTCAGCTACCAGGAATCGAACTCATGGCCTTGTGCTTGCCAGGCAAGCACTGTGCCGTTGACCTAAATCCCCAGCCCCCTATTTTCTTTATTTTTTTAATCAAGGGGTTTTTTCTTCAGACCAACTGTAACATTTAAAAATTCTCAAATAATTCTTAACCAATCAAAAAGATTTTAGATGTGTTTATAATTCATAAGTACCTACAAGATTTCTGAATTCTGCAGACTGCACCACATGAAAAAATAAGGAAGCTTGTGAAGAAGCTTCAAAAGTGCAATTCAGACTTTTAATAGTGTAAACTGACATTACCTGTTCAGGTATTTTTTACCATCCTTTTGATCAAGCCAGAATTTTCCTGGAAGAGATTTTTTAGATAAATAATACCTGTGTAATTATTAAGGAAACTTTTAAAATAATATTAAAGTCATATAATGCCTCTGTGACACAAAATAAGCATTAAAGATTCATGAAAGTAATACTTATGAATTCAAATAAAACCGATTCCTTTCAAAGCCCTTTTCAGGTTTGCAAAAATTATGAAAAAAATATTTGTATATCACAGGATCGTTTAGTACATGTAAAATCCTACAACACAATACTTGCACAAAATGTGTGCGATATAAATGTAGTTTATCTATTAGACATGACTGAGAGGAAATATTCTCAGTATTTAACATGTTGTAATTCAAGTCTTGGTTATAATTCAAGTCTTGCTACTGGGTGGCTATCATTTGATCATTCCTGCTGGCTTGAACCACCAGTGTGGTTCATGCATGACTGTCCCATTGGATGGCTTGTACCGCTTCTCAGAAGTCTTTGATTACAAACAACAATGCAAGGAAAGCACTGATTTAGCAGACCAGATGTCATTATATTATGTGGTTCCTTAAGGAAAACATTAAAATGGTATAAAAAAAATTGTAATACAGGGGAATTGGTACAGCAGTTGTAAATGCACATTATATTAATCAGCTTGGGGTTCTTACAAGATCTCCATGTTAAAATTTAGATAACTATTGATAAACTATTCACAAATATAAATTTCTTTTAATTAAATGAAATAAATTTGATTATTGTAATGATTTTTAATTGGTATGAACAGTATTAGTATTTATATATGGGCAGTAATTACTCAAATACAAGGAACTAGATTTGGCCCATTTATAGTTTTATTAATTTTATTAGTAAAAAGACCAATGAAGGTGATTAGATCCATCTGTACCACCAGTGGGACAGTCATGCATATACCACTGATAATTCCAAGCTACCAGGAATGCGTTAAATTTCTCTTTTCTTAAAATAAACAGGGAATATAAAAGACGAATTTGATTGGTTGTCTGAGCTAATTTGGGAATATTTATTTCTATATTTCTAAAGGTAAGAGAGGAGTTCTGCAATCATCTCTATACCATTAAAAATAAAGAATACTTAGATCCAATCTACCAAGGAGTTGCATTCCAAGGGCCTTGAAACTAGTCAACTGCAATACTGAAGAGAGCCTTAATTTAACAAGTATTTGCTGACTGTATACTGTGTGTGTATGTATATAAGGTTTTATACTAGATACTAAACAGGACAAAAATATATAAATACACTATACACATTACGCCTGTCCTCTAATAACCTATAACTTTTACTATTTGTTTCTCTATCTGGAAAAGAACAAGTGGCTATTTTAAGTGTTCATTAATCTGATTTACAATTGTACTGCCCATTCAATAACCACTAGCACTAACCACATTATGACTTCTGAGCACTTGAAAAGTTAGCATGAACTGAGGTATAATGGAAAAATAACACACTGGATCTCAAAGACTCAATACAAAAATTAACATACCATTAATAATATTTCCATACAAATTCAAAGTATATTTGGGTATTTTTTTTTTGATGGGGTCTCTCTATGTAATTCAGGCTGGTCTTAAAATCACTATGGGAACCAGGCTGGCCTCAAAGTCACAGTGATCCTCCGGCCTCAGGCTCCTAAGTGCTGGAATTACAGGTATGCACTACCATACCTGGGTAAAGTACTTTAAATTGCATTATTAAAATTAAATATATATAAATAAGATATATTAATAAAATGAATTCCATGTGTTCTACTTTTAAATGAGGCCACTAGGAAATTTTAAATTATATGTACCTAGGGGGCTGGGGATTTAGCTCAGCGGCAAAGCGCCTGCCTGGCAAGCGCAAGGTCGTGAGTTCGGCTCCCGATACCGGAGAAAAACCAAAAAAAAAAAAAAAAATTATAGGTACCTTGGCCAGGGATATAGCTCAGTGGCATAAGCGCTTGTCTGGCAAGCCTAAGGTCATGAGTTCCATTCCCAGTTACCAAAAAAAATTTAAAAAAAAATAAATAAATAAATTATATGTACCTCTCATTGAAAAGCAGTAATTTAGGCTATAACTCCAATCTCTAGGGAGAATTAGTGAACAGGAAAGCCTATGAGGCTAGCCTTTGATAACTAAAGGTACGGAGAAACTAAGATCAACACAGTAATAAATGGAAATAAAAACAAATTCCTTCTATTAAATAGTGAGTAGTTCAAGAAATGCAGATAAAATAGTTAAAAGTAAACCAGTACTTTTAGACTATTATTTAACCGGATAATTTATAAAACCAGAAATTGTTTTGTTTAATCCTCTCATTTTTACATCTAAGGAAATAGACATGAAAGAAATGAGGATGAAGCCAGAGGATGGACCATGGTGATAAGGATCTAAAACTTGTGCAAAAACAAATACTCATCCTACAGAATTTACTTTGTGCTTTTAACTTAAGGTTCCTTCTATATAATGTACCTATAAATTACAGAGTAAAAAGTCACAACTTCTACATATTCTCCTTCTGTGTACTTGCACAAATAAAGATTTCTGAATTTCAACTTGTATAACTTTGAAAATGCAAGTTTTGATTTAAGCTTCTAATTTAAATATTCTGTAATTTCCGCTCATAGTCACATGAACAGCTGGCTGATGGCTGAAACTCATTAAGTCAGATCTCAGACTCAGCAGTAAAACAGAACCCAAGGAACAAAATGCTTTTTGCATAGGTAAGTGACATGTTACAATGCAGCCAGCTATAGCTAAATCATACCAATATAATGATCACAAGGACCTCTTCTGTAACTTTTGCATTGATAGAAGTTTAACACTGAAATCTTTTTTCCATATATGTTTTTATTGGTACATATGTGCTATACATAATGACCACATTCATCATAGGGAATTTGTACTGTACATAATATAATCTTAATCTTTCTTTTTTCCCATTTCCCTCCTCCCTTCAATCTTTTCCCTACTTACAGAAGCTTTGTTTTGGTTTTTTTCAATCCCCTTTCCCTTTCTTTCCCTTCTCCTCCCTTGTCCCTCTTCCCATTTGAACATATTCTTCCTACTTTCCAGTATCTGTTCTCCATTTTGCTCTGTATTTATCCTTAAGGTTTCTCACACAAGAGAAACAATGTGATATTTAAACTTGTGTGTCTTATTAATTTCACTTAAAATTATTAACCCTGAAATCTTTACTTTCTTCATAAATATTAAAGGATACTCTTCCTCCAATAACATTTTCTCAATGACAGCTCTGTTCTCTTCACTGATGGAGTTATCTAGAGTCCACGGCTATTAAAAAAAAAAAAAAGAATATACATAGAATTACTTTTTGTTAAATACAAAATACATAATACTGTGATTACAAATAAGCACAGTTACTATTCACTGAGCACAGACATACCTTTGATTCTCATGTTAACACCACGAGATAGGTGGTAACACTTCACAAATGCATCTATAGCACTACTTGCACTTCAAATGGAAGAGAAGAGATCTTACATCAATTCTGTTAGATTCCAAGGTTCATGCTCCCACTCATCGTGGACAATAATGACTATCATGTATGAGGAATTATTCAACATCATGCATTTGTTAGGCAAACTAGTTCCAAAACTCCCAACTGGTTTTTTCTCAGCCACAATCTCCTGTGCATCAACACTCAAAGCGAAAAATTTTCAGCTCATGTCTCTTCTCCAAGCTTCAGACTGGTATATACAACTGCTCTCTCAAGATTTCTACCTGGATATCTAATTGGCTTCTAAGACCTAACATATTCAAGAGTTCACCATCACATATCTTAACCTGCTTCTCCCCCTACACTTCTAATCGTTTTATAAAAGGCAGTCTAAACACTAACTTACTCCATTGAAAACTATGGAATCACTGCAGGTTTGTCTTCCCTCATTCCACCAACCATTCCACCAACCATTTCTAACTCTAAAATGTAATCACATCTATCCACTTCTATTTCTTCTATTATCCAGGACCAAGCCACCATCAAATCTTCTTAGATGACTGCAAATGTTTCCTAACTAGTTCCTCTGACACCCCTCTTACTTTCCGCTAATTTTTACCACAGCACTCAAAGCAAATTTTATTTTAAAAATGGACTCACCTGCATAGTCTATATAAATGTCTTGATGTCTCAGTTCATTTACAATAAAATCGAACCTTTTAGCATAACCTAACCCCACAAATCCTGTATGACAGGGCTCTCTCCTGTCCTTCCAGCCCTGTCACACCTATTGACAAAATATTCTAGGTATGGAATAGATCTCTTTCAACCGTACCTTTTGCCTCAGCTGGAATTCTTTCCTCTACTATTCATCTACCTACTCTCAGTACTTTTCAACTTAAATGTGCTCTCAGAGCTTCCTTCACTGACAGCCTGATCTCAAGTAGGATCCCTACCTGATACTCCAGTGAACAATGACTTGCTTATTTCCTTCATAATCTGCAAGTGTCTGACTCCTCTTTAAAATATAAGCTCCTCCAGAGCAAGGCCACATCTGTCATACATATTCCCCAAACCTGGCCTAGGGTCTAGAACACAGTGAATATTCAACAAATAACTGCTAAATGAAAAAAATGAACCTTGTGATAATCCCTATTTTTTACTTGAAGAAACCAAGTTTCACAAAAGTGATAGATCAAGGGTTTATACCTAGATATAACTGGCTCCAAAGCTGCTTCTCAACAAGTCATTTTTCAAAGTCAAAAGAAAAGAGAGGTTTCTTCTATTTTTAAAGTACAAAAAATATTTCTACCTATTACCTCTGTAATTTTTGAGAAAGAGCACTCAGTTAAACAAAAAAGAGAGAGGTGTAATGGGCAATGAGTCAGTTGAACTCAGGTGATATTTCATAAAATACTTACAATAAGGCCATTCGCATTTCTCCATGATGACTCAAGATAGTGATCTTGTTGTAAAACTGATGCTGCATTTTCATTACTTCTGTAATAATTAAGAAAATGTGTATAAAACATAGTATTACATCAGTCAGTGGCTACAATGCACATAGGACAGCAGCTGGCAGGTTGTAGGTGCTAAGTAAAAAGTTCCCTTCTCCCCATAACGAACAGATTTAACACTGCAGCCATGGCTCCTCTGCCTCCTCCAATATGTTCTGTGGCCATGAACCAACACTTTAATTTTGGTTGATGAGTCTCCATATGAATATAAAAACTCAACTCTTCAATTAAACCTTTTAGCTATATAGCTAAACCACAAAAAAACTACTATCTTCAGAACTATCCTTAAAGAAAAAAACAAAAACAAAACTTAGGTGAAAAAACTAAACTCAAAAATACCAGAAGTTTTATTTTTGTTTTGTTTTGTTTTTTGAGACAGGGTCTCACTATGCAATTCAGGTTAGCCTTGAACTTGCAGTGATCCTCCTACATTAGCCTCCTGAGGGCTGGCATTACAGGCGTGCCCACCATGCCCAGCTCCAGAAGTTTTATTAACAATTCACATAACTTGGAAAAAAATAACTTAGGTTATTTGGAGGATTTCTATGTTACATGGGGGATCAAATGTTTGTTAATTCTCTCACTTCTCTGACTGAACCAATAAGGCACAATGTGTGTCTTATGTGTTCAGCGATCCAATCTATAAGACAATTTAGTCTTTTGATTTTGTACATTTTACCTTAGTTTTCTAATTACAGACTTTTCCCAGAACTCACCTAGTGATAAAAAACTTTGTACTGCTGCTAAGAGTGCAAAAACCTATCAACAGATTTATACATTTGAATCTTTAATTAGTCCTATAGTTGTTACAGCAGATTACAGGACTGTTACAGCTTGTATCTAGATGTCTCCTGAAGTCTCACATGGTCACAAGTGGGGTTTTTCGGAGGAGTCTGGATCTAGGGTATGTTAAAGGGTGAGTGATTACTAAATTAGTCCACTGATTGGTTTATCATAGTTCTGGGTGTGGATAATGGGAAGGCCTTCCCTGGATGTGGTGGCACAACCCAAGAGGCAGGCAGCCTGGAAGAGATAAAAGGGAGAAGCAGGGCTGCTACTGCTTTTGCTGTTGTTATATGCTGCTCCTTTGCTATTTGGCTGCTTTGCTGTCTTCTGCCCGCCATGAACTGTTTCGCCTCTGTAATGCTCTGTCTGCTATGCCAGCCTGCTTTAGAATTAGCCAACTACGGAATGAAACTTCTTCGAACTGTGAACCAAAATAAACGTTTCTTCATTTAGGTGTTTGGTATTTTGTCTCATCAATTAGAAAAGTAATTAAGACTGGAACTATCATTTTTCTCTCCAATAAATTAAGAGCAGTAGTTTCTATCAACTGTTGATAGAAACGAGTCAACACCGATCTGAAAGAGGCTAAAGGGTCCTGAGACCTGTATCAGCAGAAGGAAATGTTTGCTCAAATGACTTGTGTCTGCCTTGAGGGTAGGAGGTGGTACTACTATCTTCAGGTTTACTGCAGGAATCTTTTTACATAGCATTCCTTAGTAAGGATTAGCAACATCCATACCCTGTTGTACACATATGGATATCTACTTGAATTTCCACAGGCAACACAAATTAACATGTTTAAGGTTAAAATCATGTTTCCTCACAAATTTGCTACTCTCCTATTGTGCTCTACCTCAAGGGCAGCCCTTCCACTTAGCCCTGAAGTCCCACAGTTTCAGACCTAATAGCTTTCCTTCCTGGTGGACTATAAGAGATACAGCTGACAAGCTATTCATCTTCTTTCCTTTGTTTTTCTCCACTTACCTTCATCTGACAGGTATGTAAAGTTTACTGTCTCATCTAATAAGAATATTAGATCTGTGAGACCACAGTGCTGGTTTTTATACCTCCTACATTAGTATTTGTTGAATGACTGAATAATAATGTACTTGAGACATGGATCACACAGGTCTATAGTAGTTAGGGAATAAAGATTTTAACACAAAACCAACTGGGGATTGAAGGGAGTAACACGATCAACTTGGATGTAAGAAAGACCACTTTAAATTCAGGAAAGCACAAAGAGATCCAAAGAGACAATGAGCAATAAAGAGGAAGTGAGTGTAAAAATACTCTGGGTGGCAGTAACTTGCCTGTAAAGGACAATCACTGTAAACAGGAAGAGTGAATATATTTGAAAGTATATTTATACAGAATGAACAGATCTCTAACAAATGACATGATAGGGGGAGTGGATCGAGATCAGGAAAAGGAATAAAGTTTAACTCTATATCTTTGATAACTGGTGGATTTTCTTAAGAAAGATTTAATTTGGCCCACAGACTCTTGAGTGTTAGCACCACTTGTCTGACTGGGGAACAGTGGAGAGTCAGGTTTCACAGGAAAAGTTTTACAAGACCAAGGTGTTTGTGGGACATCCAAATGCTGATAGATTCAGAGAGTTGCATGAATGAATCAGAAGCTCACGATAAAGATGTGCATTAGTGACAGATTTAGAAATACCAGCATGTGTTAGGTTAAACTTATGAAACTGCCATTTTTGTAGGTCAAATATGTTAGAACACTGGCAAAATTTTATATGGCTCAGCCTAACAAATTAAGTCTTGAGATATGGTATCACCAGCAACTGTGGGGTCAGTGAGAAGTCCTGTAACAAAATCCCTTTGAATGTCATGAACAAGCAGAAGAAAGGGACAGTAAGAAGGAATGGTAAAAGTAAAAGGCAAATCAAAATGCTACCTTTAAGCTCTATTACTAGCACTTAGCAAATGCTTGAAGGAGTGTGTGTTAAATTAATCACCCAGGGTTCCTCATACACTACCATCAGCTGTTCACCACATACTGTTACTTCAGGGGTTATGGCACAAGACTGGAGCTCCAGTACCCTGGGGCACCAGTCACTAAAACAAGGTCAGTGATACTCCTTGGAACCAATAACCTTTAATCTTGCTTGTGTTCAACTAAGATGATACACTATCACTAAAGCTCAAGAAAACCAGAAGAAAGAGAAAAGGAGAAAAATTCAATCAGAAAAGTTAAAACAAACCTATGTAAGAGGCATAATGCCAATGTCCTCAGATGATGGTGTTTCAAAGGCTAATTCATTTCTTTCCGGTCTTTGGGTAAGTTTCCTGCCCACTTAAATCAAGCATGCAAAATCACTTGACCAAAACTGAAATACTATAAAACATGAACAATTATTATTAAAGGCTGTCACACTTACTTTGCACAGCTTTTGATCGCTTTGGCTAAAAAATCTGAGGGAAAGCGACAACACGAGTTTACCCCTCACATTTTTAGAGTGCTTTATTTAGGGTTCACCACTTTTAAATTCCCTGTTACTCAGTGCCTCTTGGGCAGGGCTGAGGATCTTCTCAGCTAAAAGCCCCTGATAGTAGGTTGGACTACATGGAACTGTCACTTTATAGGTATAAAAGGCCTAATATTGGTAACTTCATGTGGTTCAACGTAGTAAGAATTCTAACAAAGTTATTGACAGTTGTAAGTAATAATGCTTGGCTGCATTTAGAACTCAGATTTTCTAATTCCTATCCAGTTTAAGCCTCTTCCACTACTAAAGTCACATTTGTTACTAGGAAAGCAATGAATCAAAGGAGATTATGATTCCGACTACACTGGCCTGTTTTGAAGGAATAAGAATTAAATAAATTCTGATCCCTCATACCATCCTTAAGGATAAATGAAGTACACATTTACAGAGCGTCTATGAAATGTTAAATGGCATTTTATCGTTCTTTCATTTGATAGTCACATCAACCGCATGAGTACATGATTCTCAGTATATGACAAACTGTCTTGCACAAAGTCACAGTGCTAGTAAAGATAGGACCTGCAACTGCAGAAGAAAACTCAAAACGGTCCAATTCTGATACCCGGCTCTTTCCTTTAAATGAAGCTGCCTCTCCGGAAAGTTTTTCACAACCATCGCTGTAGGGGAGAAAGGGGTGACGCAACGCGTCCGAGGTCGCGGGGCGGTAAGGGAGGGATCTTGCTCCCCTGCTGCAATTGGTTCAGGCCGGTTTGGGGCAGGTACTGAAAAGAATGAAGAAGGCACCGAACTGCTGGAGTAAGGGCAAGGCGCGGAAAGGAAGCTGGCCCCCGCAGCGCTATGTGACAGGGGAGAGAGAACCCGTGCCAAGGCCGGCCGGCGCCGGAAAGCGCGAGCCGACCGCGCGCCAACTTCCGGGGCGGCGGAGACCGGGCCCCACGCAAAGCCTTCTGCTCCCCGGTCCCTTCACGGGACCTTTTCCTCTTCCCGGGCCTTTGCCTCGCGTGCGAGACCCTCCCCGCCCGGCGACACCCAGTCTCTATGCCTCACCCCGGCTGTGCTGCCGCCGCGACCACGTCCCCTTCTACATCCACATCCGTCTCTTCCGCCGCCATGATATCACCTGACCCTGCCCGCCCTCCCTCGAGATCCCGCGAGAGGTTGCGGCCCGGGGGCGGGGCCTTGCTCAATGGGGCGGGGCTTCCAGAGGAAGCGCTGGAGAGATCCGGCTGTGGCCGGCTTTGGGCTTCTCAGGGCAGTGTGCCTGAGCCCTGATTTTGCTAGTCTGTATAATGGAGGTGGTAGCATGTATCCTTCTGGACTGATGAAAAAAGCCAAAAGTGCTGTTTGAACCCCGAAAGAGACAACAGGGAGGGAGCTTTATTAAGTCTTTTTCTAAAGATAGTCTCTTTTTTTTTTTTTTGGAACTGGGACTCGAACTCAGGACCTTATTCTTGCCAGGCAGGCACTGTGCCCCTGAGCCATATCCCTAGCCCGTCTTTCTCTCAAGAAAGGGTCGTTTACCGCTTATGTGAAGTGCAGAATGACTTATATTTCAATAGTGAATATCAAATATATAATTTATGATCTTGTGATTTTTGTAGAGATCTTTATGCTTTAAAATCACTCGTGACCGCAGGGCTTGGTGGCACACGCCTATAATGCCAGCACTCAGTAGGCTGAGGCAGGAGGATTGCTGCAAGTTCGAGGCCAGCCTGGGCTACATAGTGAGTTGAAGGCCAGCCTGAAATGCATAGTTAGACCCTGTCTCACAAGACAAAAAATAAATAAATAAATAAATAAATAAATAAATAAAAATAAATACATAAAATAAAATAAAATCACTCATGACCATTCACCCTTACACTAACTGCCTGAGGTAGACAGGGCTGATATCAGTACATATGGGGAAACTGAAGCTCAGAAAATTGACACACTTGTCCAGGGTCAGAGCTGGAATCCAGGCTGTGACCATTAAAAGTGACTGTCAACTTGACAGAATTAAGAGCTGCCCAGCGATTACTAAAGCACACCTCTGGGTGTGTCTTCAGGGTATTTCCAAAGAAGATCGGCATGCAGGGCAGGCTGAGGGAGAAAACAACCAATAGGATACAGCCAGGATGGAAAGAAAGAGGAAGAAGGAGGAAGCTAGCCCGCATTTTCAAAGCTCCATTCCGCTCTGGCAGATGCCTCTCTTGCTACTGCCATCGTGAACACCAGACTCCAGCTTCTTCAGTATTTCAACTTGGACTCTCCTGCAACTCTCCAGGAAGCTTCCAGGCCTTCAGTCTTGGGCTAGTGCTGCATGCCGGATTCCTGTTTATTCTGAGGCTTCCAGCTCTTTGGACTGAACACTACTGGATCCTCTGTCCTCTCCCCTGGAGAGGGTACACACAGCCATTATGGACTTTCATGCCTCTGATCCTATAAGCCTAATAAACCCCCTTGTGAATATATAAAGAAAAAAAACATATATATATATATATATATATATATATACATATATTCCTCTGTACTACTCTAACCAATGCACAGAGCTTTCTGACTATTTACTAAATTCTCACTACATGCAAACACTGTTGTTAGGAGCTGTGAAGAATAAACATTATTTCTGCCAAATAACTTAAGACTTTTCAGGATACAGTATTGTACATTACCTTTATGCATTCCTCTACACTAGCTCTGCATTTCACTGCATCTAATATACATTCCTCTACATCTTAGTTACTATTCTTGTTGCTGAGAAAAAAATAACTGACACCCACAAGTGAAAAGAGGAAAGGCTTATTTCAGTTTACAGTTCTTAGAGGTCTCAGTCCATAGTCTGCTGGCTCCAAGGCAGAGCAGTGTGGCAGAGAGGCATTGCAGAGGAGAAACAATACATGGCAAGGCAGGCAGAAAGCACCGAAGCACCAAGCAGCAGCAGAAACACTGCTTTCTATCTGTCCCTTTCCATTCCATCTAGGTTACAAGCCTATTGATTGTTGACACCCATATCCATGGTGGGGCTTCCATTATCCACACCTTTTGTCTCACATCACTCCCTTGATCCACATTAACACATTCTAATACAGCCATGTTTGAAACTCCCCACCTATGAGCACATAAGGCTTTGGGAGAACATCTGGATACAAGCAATAACAGTCTATCACATTGTTGTAATGGATGGTTCACTTGTCTTCCTCCCCTACTGGACTTGTGAATTCTTTAAAGACAAAGACTGTCAACATTCAGCATGGTGTCTGGTACATACTAGGTGCTCGGTAAATATTAAACAGGTGAATGAATGAATAAATCAGATAGCAGCATGAGCTCATTTCCACACTATTCTCAATTTATCTCATCTCACCTTTGTTCTGAGGGCATATGAATGTGATGGCAGAAAATGGAGACAAAAACTTGTAAAGAGGGAGAGCCCAGGGCCCAGGCCATTATGGTCATACACTTCTGTTGTCAAAGGGTGTATCCAATGATCGGTTCCAATGGAATCACCATGCCTGGCACAGAGTAGCATTTTTGTTTTATTTTGTTTTTTAATGTTATTTTTTCAAATTTTCATTAGTACACATTTGCCATATATAATGATCATATTCTCAGAGGGAATTTGTACCTGTACATAATATGTCTTAATTCTTCCTTTCATCCCATCTCCCTCCTCTCCCTTCAGCCCTTGTTTCATGTGTTGAGGCTTGTAAATTGCTTATGGTAGGTAGCTTTATTACTAGTATTGAGATGTCCTTAGGAAATGAATACTTTTCAGCAATGTCTTCTATGCATAACTCGTTTTGGCCTTTAAGTCTGTCCCAGGATCCTATCTTGTCTCTTTACTACAGATGGAAGTTTTGTTCTGTTTGGCCTAGTGACCAGTTTTTTGGTATTGAGCTAGCATTATTTATGACCATCGGACAATCTAGGTATTGGGATTCAAGGAAGATCAGTTGATCACAGCAACTGTTTCACCTTGGCTAAAGCAGTACACTCAGTGATAACAACAGCATGAAACACAGTAGAAAATGACAGACTGTGATATCTAGTAATTTGTCACCTTTAACCCTCGGTAAAGACTTATATAAAAAATCTAAGGCTAATCAGAAATTTATAGATAGTAAATATTCACTCAAGAGAGCAATTTTACCCTAAGGGAAGAAAATTTGAAAGGGAGAGGAGTAAAACTAGAACAATAAACAGAGAGAAGGAGATTAGAAGCAAGGCTGAGAAACAAAGGAAGATTAATCAAGTCTCAGGAAACTGGTGAAAAAGACAGAGGGAAGCAAGAAAGAGAAAACAATAAAAAGAAAAAAACTAAAAACAATATTCACACTCACAATAACCCAAAAACAGCCAATCAAAAACAAACCAAAAAGAAAACAACAACAAAAAAGACCAATAGCAAAGAAAGAAAAAACAGAAAGAAATTTTTGTGTGCTTTCAAGCCAATGGTTATCTTCTGGGGTCTGTAGTTTCATGGCTATATTCAAGGTGTGACTCTGCTCTCACCCGTACAAGTGGGGGATGGGTCAAATCCCAGATCTGTGTTGGATAATCCCAGCAAACCCACAGTAGGATTAGGGTGGTGTGCTGGTTTGGGACTTTCAGATCCACAGGAGTTCAGGCTGAACCTGAACTCTGATCATGGTGGTGGGAGCCTGAGTCATTTAGCTATCACACTCTGGGTGTCTCTTGCCCACCTGACCATGGCTCCCTGACCATAGACATCTCCCATGTATGTCCCTTACCCAGTCACTGTGGGCATGTGACACTGGGAGCCCACTGGATCCCTGGATGAAGCCAACTTGCTGCTGCTCTCAGTCCCAGGTTCAGTTGGCGGCTCCCTAAAATAGTGTCCAACCAGGCACTCTCTCCAGAGGATACGCAAAACATTTGGACTGGAGTCACTTACCAGCTGTTGTAGTGCATGGCATCCACTGCTCTATTCCACTGATGCATTTCTCCCTGAGAGCCCCTGGAGTCACCTGTTTTCACTGTGGCTTTATAGACTTGATCTTCCTTTCTTTCGCCACCAGCCAGGAGCTGGAAAGTACAGATTGTCCCTTCCTTTTTCTGCATTGTGGTTTGACTCTTCCCTTTCTCTGTAGGCTCCAATTTCCCTTAAGACACTTCCTGGGCCTCAGAGATCACCTCTCTTCTTTTCTTCCCTCAGTTGTTATTTTTCAGTGTCTGGTTTCCAAATCTTGGAGAGGCTGATTTATTGCTGTTTACCTCTCCACCACCTTCCCAGGTATCTCTTAGAGTAATATTTTAAGATGCCTGTGGAATTTAAAGCCTATGCCTTTCCCTGAGCTTTACACAGCAGGAAGAGTTAGGACTCTGGCAGGCAGGACTATCTACATATAGGTCATCATAAATGAGAACGGCACCTCCCAGAGCACAGCACAGATACTGTGTGAGTAGAGTCCCTCAAAATGCAGGACTGAGGCTTTTCTCATCCAGGGCCAGGCACCAATAGGCACTGAGATATATGTGGGAGGAGAAAAGCAATGCACAAAATTCAAAGAGGACCCCGGTCATCTCAATGCCTCCCTCATCAAAGGTGTGAGGTTGAAGCTTCCCCATACATGCTCTGCACCGTTCCATGTTCCTTGGCTTGACAGAAACAACCTCCATAAGGATCTCTATGCAGCCACACTCACCAGGACAGTACTATAACCTCACGTGTAGGTTAAATCTGGACATCTGGTCTGCTTTTTTAAATTTCCTGTTGAAAAACCCATTCTCTCAACATGTAGTTTGAAAGCAGAACGAAGAATTCAGAATTAGTACTTTAACAATACTTCTTGAGTTACTACTGTATTAGGTACTGAGGCAATGGCACTGAATAAAAGTGACTCGGTGTCTGTCTTCACAGCAAATTTAACACAATGTAACAAGTTCAATGATGGAGGCCTTACAGTTTGTTTTATTCTGTTTTCTGATGCTGTAACAGAATATGATTGACAGGGTAAAGGAGTTTATTCAGCTCATGGTCCCAGAGGCTGGGAAATTCGAGATCATGGCACTGGCATCTATGAAGGCCTATGGGCTGTGAGCACAAGGCAGAAAAGCAAGCAAGCCCATATAAGATGGAGTGAGAGATCAAGTCAACTTGCTGTTATAACAAGCCTTCTCCCA